TTCATTTGTTTTGAGACAGGGTCTCACCCTGTCACCCAGACTGGAGTGCAGTGATGTGATCTTGGCTCACTGCAACCTCCACCTCCCAGGCCCAAGCAATCCTCCCACCTCAGCCTTCTGAGTAGCTGAGACCACAGATATGCACCATAATGCCGGAATAATTTTTTATTTTTTGTGAAGATGGAGTCTTGCTGTGTTATCCAAGCTGGTCTCAAACTCCTGAGGTTAAGCTATCCTCCTGCCTCAGCCTTCCAAAGTGCTGGGATTACAGACATGAGCCCACCACATGCAGCTAGTTTACTACTATTTTGTTGAGGATTTTTATATCAATATTAATCCGTGATATTGGCCTCAGTTTTTTTGTATGTATCTTTGTCTGGTTGTGGTATTAGGATAATACTGGCCTGGTAGAATGAGTTTGGAAGTTATTTCCTTCTCCTTTATTTTTCAAAATAGTTTGAGTAGGATTGGTATTATTTCTTTAAATGTTTGATAGAACTCAGCAGTGAAGCCACTGGGTCTTGGCCTTTTCTTTACTAGGAGACTTTTTTTATGGCTTTGATCTCATTATTTGTTATTGGTCTGTTCAGGTTTCAGATTTCTTCATGGTTCAATCTTTGGCATGCTGTATGTATTTCATAGTTTGTTCATTTCTTCTAGATTTTCCAATTTACTGGCACATAGTTGCTCATAATAGCCATTAATGATTCTTTGAATTTCTGTGGTATTGTAATATCTCATTTTTGTCTCTGATTTTATTTATTTGGATCTTCTCCTTTTCTTAGCACTGCTAAAAGTTTGTTGATTTTGTTTAACTTTTCAAAAAGCCAACTTTCTGTTTCATTGATTTATTTTTGTGTTGTTTTCTTTATTTCAATTTCATTTATTTCTGCTCTGATCTTTATGTATTCTTTTCTTCTACTAATTTGGGATTTGGTTTGCTCTTGTTTCCCTAGTTCTTTAAGGTGCATCATTAGATTGTTTATTTGCAGTTTTTCTTTTTTTGATGTAGGCACTTAGACAGCTCTCTTGCTACTGCTTTGGCTGTATTCCATAGGTTTTGGTATGTTGTGTTTCCATTATAATTTGCTTCAAGAAATTTTTCAATTTATTTCTTAATTTTTTCCTTGGGCCACTGGTCATTCAGGAGCATGTTGTTTAATTTCCATGTGTTTGTACAGTTTCCAAAATTCCTCTTGTTATTTATTTCTAGTTTTAATCCAGTGTGGTCAGAGAAGATGCTTGATATTATTTCAGTTTTTTGAGTATTTTCATACTTGTTTTGTGACCTGATGGTTTATCTTTGAGAATGATACAAGTACTGGGGAAAAGAAGGTATATTCTGCAGCCATTGGATGAAATGTTCTGTATCTATTAGGTCCATTTGGTCTATAATGTGATTGTTTAAAGTCATTTCCTTTCTGACTAGCTGCCTCACTCATTATTTTCTGTTCTTGAAATTTGTGATACAAAGAATAATGCATAGCTGGCCAGGCATGTTGACTTACCCCTGTAGTTCCAGCACGTTGGGAGGCAGAGGGAGGCAGATCACTTGAGGCCAGGAGTTCAAGACCAGCCTGGCCAACATGGTAAAACCACATCTCTACTAAAAATACGAAAATTAGCCAGGCGTGGTCGCAAACACTCTAATCCCAGCTACTCAGGAGACTAAAGCACCAGAATTACTTGAACCTGGGAGGCAGGAGGCAAAGGTTGCAGTGAGCTGAGATCATGCACTGCACTTCAGCCTGAGCAACAGAACAAGAATGTTTGGGGAGTGGAGGGGAAAGAATAATGTATAGCCAATCAATGTATAGCCTGTGTTATTTATTTATTTATTCAAGATAGAGTCTCACTCTGTTGCCCATGCTAGAGTACAGAACAGTGGCTTGGTCTTGGCTCACTGCACCCTCCACCTCTCAGGTTCAAGCAATTCTCCTGCCTCAGCCCCCGAGTAGCTTCTCCGTAATTTTAAAGAACAATATTCTTTTTGTTTGTATCACAGTCATACTCCAAGAGGTTTGCCTAGTGGTAGTATGGATGCTTTAATCTATTTTCTTGTTTACTCTGTATAGCTGTTATAGTAGCTTGAAATAGTAACTTAAATTTTTGTTTGTTTGGTTTTTTAAACAGCTTTATTGAGATATAATTCAAATATTATACAATGCACTCATTTAAAGTATATAGTTTTAATGGCTTTTGTCCATTTTTTTATTGTTACCACAGTCAACATTAGAACATTTTACCATTCTAAAAGAAACCTCATACTCTTTTGCTATCACCCTATCCCCAATTCCCTTCCCACCACCAGACCTAGGCAACCACTAATCTACTTTCTTTCACTCTAAATTTGCCTGTTACTAACATTTCATATAAATGGAATCATAGAATATTTGATCTGTTGTGCCTGGCTTGTTATAGTTAGAATAATGCTTTCAAGGTTCATGTTGTAGCATGTGTCAGTACTTTCTTTTTATGATGGAATGATAGCACATTGTATGGATATGCCCTATTTGGTTTGTTTGCTTGTTTGTTTGTTTGTTTTTTGAGATGGAGTCTCACTCTGTTGCCCAGGCTGGAGAGCAGTGGCGCAATCTCAGCTCACTGCAACCTCCACCTCCTGGGTTTAAGCAATTTTCCTGCCTCAGCCTCCCAAGAGGCTGGGATTACAGGCACCTGCCACCATGCCCAGGTAATTTTTGTACTTTTAGTAGAGACAGGATTTTGTTATGTTGGCCAGGCTGGTCTTGAACTCCTGACCTCAGGTGATCTGCCCACCTCAGCCTCCCAAAGTGCTGGGATTATAGGCATGAGCCACCACACCTGGCTAGACATACCCTATTTGTTTATCCACTCATCTGTCGATGGCAATACAGGTTGTTTAAATCTTTTGGCTGTTATGAATAATGCTGCTATGAACATTTGTGTATAAGTTTTTGTGTGAACATATGTTTTCCCAGTTATATTGAGTATGTATACCTAGGGAGTAGAATTGCTGGGTCAAATGGCAACTCTATGTTTAACCATTTGAGGAACTACCAGGCTGTTTTCCAAAGAGACAATACTATTTTACATTCCTGCCTGCATTTTACATTCCTTACCATCCTTGTCAGCACTTGTTATTATCCATCATTTTATTCTAGCCATCCTAGTGTGTGCGAAGCCGTATCTCATTGTGCTTTTGATCTTCATTTCCTTAATGACTAGTAATGTTAAGCATCTTTTCATGTGCTTATTGGCCAAAACTTAGATGTATATAAGGATCAGAGCCTTGAACAGTGACCTATATGGAATTGGTTTTTAGAAGTCCAGATTCACTGGGCGGCTCATGTCTGTAATCCCAGCACTTTGGGAGGCTGAGGCAGGAGGATAACTTGAGGCAAAGAGTTCAAGACCAGTCTGGGCAACATGTGAGACACTGTCTCTACAAAAAATAAATAATAAATTAGCCAGGTGTGGTGGTGTGCACTACTTGGGATGCTGAGGTGGAAGGATTGCTTGAGCTCAGGAGGTTGAGGATGTAGTGAGCCATGATTGTACCACCACAGCCTGGGTGACACAATGAGACCCTGTCTCAACAAAAAGAAGAAGAAGAAGAGGTCCAAAATCAATGGAAGGACTGAGAACAGGCCTAGTCATGGGGAATATTAGATAAGATTGAAGTGGGCCGGGCGTGGTGGCTCACGCCCATAATCCCAGCACTTTGGGAGGCTGACACAGGTGGATCGCAAAGTCAAGAGACTGAGACCATCCTGATCAACACAGTGAAACTCCATCTCTACTAAAAATACAAAAATTAGCTGGGCATGGTGGCGCACGCCTGTAGTCCCAGCTACTCGGGAGGCTGAGGCAGGAGAATTGCGTGAACCCAGGAGACGGAGGTTGCGGTGAGCCGAGATCGCGCCATTGTACTCCAGCCTGGGTAACAAGAGCAAAACTCCATCTCAAAAAAAAAAAAAAAAAAAAAAAAGGATTGAAGTGAGTATATCTTTGTCCAAGATACAGCCAAGAATGAGGAAATTTTAAGTTAATGACTGAATTAGTGAAGCAGGAGTCAAAATTTAGATATCAGGGATCAAAAATCAAGGAGTTTCCTACATTCCTGATATAATTTTAGCTGTTAAAGTTATACCACAACCATCAGTACAAGACCAAGGTAGGCCTGACACAGTGGCTCATGCCGATAATTCCAGCACTTTGGGAGTCTGAGGCAGGTGAATCATCTGAGGTCAGGAGTTCGGGACCTGCCTGGCCAACATGGTGAAACCCCATCTCTACTGAAAATACAAAAAGTGGCCGGGTGCGATGGCTCACATCTGTAATTCCAGCACTTTGGGAGACGAGGTGGGTGGATCACCAGAGGTCAGGACCAGCCTGGCCAATGTGGTGAAACTCCGTCTCTACTAAAAATACAAAAATCAGCCAGGCGTGGTGGCATATACCTCTAATCACAGCTACTTGAGAGGCTGAGGCAGGAGAATTGCTTGAACTTGGGAGGCAGAGGTTGCAGTGAGCTGAGATGGCACCACTGCACTCCGGCCTGGGTGACAGAGCAAGACTCCATCTCAAAAAAAGAAAAAAAATACAAAAATTAGCCAGGTGTGTGGCAGGCACCTGTAGTCCCAGCTACTTGGGAGGCAGAGGTGGGAAAATTGCTTGAACCCGGAGGGCAGAGGATGCAGTGAGCCGAGATTGTGCCACTGCACTCTAGCTGGGTGACAGAGTGAGACTTTGTCTCAAAAAAAAAAAAAAAAAAGACCAAGGTAAGCTAGATACTTGAGTCCATGGCAGTAATTAAAGCTGCTGATATGTAGGGAGTTATCCTTGGCCCACTCCCTGACATGGAAGGCAAGAAGATGTGAGGCAGGCTAAGTTTCCACATCTAGTGCCAGGCCCCTGACTTAAGGAAGAAGAAGAAACCCAAGAAAGGTCCATATTGAGGAGGCAAAATAAAATTTAACCATGTTCAGATGTGTCTAAACTGAAATTTACTTTTATAGAAACTATAATGAGAAACATCACCAACACAAAATCAAGCTTCAAAAAGTCAAGTATCGTTTAACTAATGAAGTAGAACTACGAGATAAGAGAATTAACCAATTTGAAGATGAAATTGGAATCCTGCAACATGAAATAGAAAAGGTGAGGAAAAGTAAAAGGTGAAGAGCTCACTGGTGATTCCCATGGTCACCCATTTGGAGAAAGCCCTTTCATTTAAAAAATTGTTTGTGGCCCCTTCATAGTACTTGTTTTCATTTCTTTTCTTTGAACCATCTTTCAATGAGTAATTCTTTAAGCCCTGACCAAGAGCATGTAAGACTCCTAGTGCTGCTAAACTGAATCGAGTACTGAAAATATTCTGTACTGCCACTTTATGATCAATGTCTTGCCTTCAAATGGAAATGCCTTTCCTTAAACACCCCCGAGCACAGACTTCCAAACCACTCTCAGTAACTCATTTCTGCTTTGTAGAGCCCTCATTCAGTGTTAGTTTTAAATGGCAATGAAAAAGATGATCCTTACTCCTTTATCAATCCTTGCCTTCAAGCTTTTTTCTAAATATCCATGGTTTCTTTATGCTTGTCTTATTGCCCTTGTGACATAGTAGTGTATGAATAAGAAGAAAATGGGACAGATGAATAGAATCAAATGCAGAATGGTTGTGGGATTATTAAACTACATAAATTCAAGATGGAGAGTAACCGACTAGGCCAGTAAGGTTTTCCCTTCTTTTTTTTTTTTTTGGAGACGGAGTTTCGCTCTTGTTCCCCAGGCTGGAGCGCAATGGCGTGATCTCGGCTTACTGCAACCTCCGCCTCCTGGGTTCAGGCAATTTTCCTGCCTCAGCCTCCTGAGTAGCTGGGATTACAGGCACGCACCACCATGCCCAGCTAACATTTTGTATTTTTAGTAGAGACGGGGTTTCACCATGTTGACCAGGATGGTCTCGATCTCTTGACCTCGTGATCCACCCGCCTCGGCCTCCCAAAGTGCTGGAATTACAGGCTTGAGCCACCGCGCCCGGCTGGTTTTCCCTTCTTGGGATCTCTAGCCCTTTCAGAATTTTGAGAACTCTATCATCACTCCTAAAAATATTCATTTCTACACTCAACAAATTTTTATACCACCACTATGTGCCAAGGATACCATAAACATTTATGTAATCTCAGTGATTCTATCAACTATCCTGGACTCCAGGTCAAGAATTCCTGACTATACACAGCAAAGCATTTTTAGAGTATAATAGGTATGTCACAAATATTACATTCTTAGTTTTAAAAAATTGGCTGGGTGCAGTGGCTCACACCTTAATTGCAGCACTTTGAGAGGCCAAGGCAGGAGGATTGCTTGAGGCCAGGAGTTCAAGGTTACAGTGAGCTATAATCATGCTTGTAAATAGCCACTGTACTCCAGCCTGGGCAACATAGAGAGGCTCTGTCTCTAACAAAAATATAAAATAAAAAAATCCTCTTGATACTCTAAACTATAGTGAGAGAAGAAAAATAAGTTGGATTTTTGTAGTATCCTTTTTTTTGCATTAATTTGTCTAACATTTAGAGACTGATATCTAGCTTAGAACCAGAAAAAGACTATGGAAAGTATATAAGAAAAAGTAGCAATCCATTTTAGTAGCACCCATGGGCAAAAAAAAAAAAAAAGAAGAAGAAGAAGAGGAGGCCGGATGCAGTGATTCATGCCTGTAATCTCAGCATTTTGGGAGGCCAAGGTGGGCAGATCACCTGAGGTCAGGAGTTCGAGACCAGTCTGGCCAACATGGTAAAACCTGATCTCTACTAAAAAATACAATTAAAAAAAAAAAAAATTAGCCAGGCTTGGTGGCAGGTGCCTGTAATCCCAGCTACTGGGGAGGCTGAGGCAGGAGAACAGCTTGAACACAAGAGGTGGAGGTTGCAGCGAGCCGAGATAGTGCCATTGCACTCCAGCCTGGGCAACAAGAGCAAAATTCCATCTCAAAAAAAAAGAAGAAGAAAGAAAGGGAAAAAAAGTTGCAATCCTAGTTCATGGGTCCAACAGATATATCTTCAGCCTATTTCTTTACTACTAGTTCTTTCTCATACTTTGGCATTTTACTTCTAGGCTGGAAAAACAGTCTTTCAGCAGGCGTGCTAGCTTTCTTCCTGACTATACTGGGTTGAATAGTGTTCCCCCAAATTCATGTCCTAGAACCTTAGAATGTGACCTTATATAGAAATAGGGTCTTTGCAGATATAAGTAGTTAAGATGACATTATCCTGAATTAGGATGAATCATAAATCTAAGATGATTGCTATCCTCATAGGAAGAGGGAAAAACATACAGACAGACATAGACAGGGGAAGAATGCTTCATGGTGATGAAGTCACAGACTGGAATGATACAGCTACAAGCCGAGAAATAGCAAGGGTTGCTGGCAACCACTAGAAGCTGGGAGAAAGGCATGCAGCACAGTCTCTCTTGTAGCCCTCATAAGTAATTAACCCTGACAACAATGTGATTTCAGATTTAGCACTCAAAACTATGAGAAAATAGGTAGAAAACTAATGCATTTACCCAAAGAACCACGGGTCTTCATAAAATATGCCGGAGATCCCAAATAAGCAGAGGCTGAGAGAATAATTGGACTTTTTGCTCACTACCATTGAAGGATACTGGGGGCTTTGGCCTTAGATAGGCTTGGATTCAAATTCTAGCCCTGCCTGTGACCTTGGACAAGTCTCTGGATATCACTTTCCTCATCTGTAAAATGAAGGAAATAATCCCCACCTTACGTGCACAAGGATTTTGTGAGTATTAAAACATAAAATTTCTTTTTTTTTTTTTTTTTTTGAGACGGAGTTTTGCTCTTGTTTCCCAGGCTGGAGTGCAATGGCGCGATCTCGGCTCACCGCAACCTCCGCCTCCTGGGTTCAGGCAATTCTCCTGCCTCAGCCTCCTGAATAGCTGGGATTACAGGCACGCGCCACCATGCCCAGCTAATTTTTTGTATTTTTAGTAGAGACGGGGTTTCACGATGTTGACCAGGTTGGTCTCGATCTCTTGACCTCATGATCCACCCGCCTCGGCCTCCCAAAGTGCTGGGATTACAGGCTTGAGCCACCGCGCCCGGCCTAAAACATAAAATTTCTAAAGTGATACCTGGCGCATGTAAATTTTTCACAGATGTTATTTTCCTTTTTTTGGTATGTAATTTCTTAGAAGGGCCTGAGAAGCATGTTAATTGGTGGATTGATAGTTCACATGAGAAATTGTTAACAGAATTAGAACTACTTAGCCCAGAGAAGACTGATGTGAGAGCTCTTAATGCCAAAGCAGAACAAACCTAGAGATTCTTATTTTATGTATTTTAGGGCCCAAGGACCAGAGCACTGAGAATACAAATGCCAGGTTTACTTTCTGAGTCTTCAAAAAGTAATGCCACTTCTTTTGGCTTCATTACTTCAGCTTTTTCTTTATATAAAGAGCCAGTTGAGCCTTCTGTTGTGACCACTATAACTAGACTTTCCCATTTTATCCTACTATCATAACATGTGTCTGGAATTTTTGCTTGTTTTAAAAAATACAGTATTTCCCAAGGACAAGGTGTCAGTTGCTTTCCTCATGCAGTGCACTTTTTAATCCAGTTATATCTGTCTAGGGTTTATCTGTGGGATGATTGCTTCTATTTCTCAATCCTTACCAACACATTATTAATTAAATGTCTTTAAATTATAGCAGGTGAGACTACCATCAGATATTGCAGGGTCTTGGAGAAGGACTCTAAAGTCTGGAATCGTTTTTTTCAGAATATAATCTGATCTACATCCTATAGATATTTAATAATAGATGGCCAGCCAGGCACGGTGGCTTATGCCTGTAATCCTAGCACTTTGGGGGGCTGAGGCAGGTGGATCACCCAAGGTCTGGAGTTTGAGACCAGCCTGGCCAACAGGGCGAAACTCCATCTCTACTAAAATTACAAAATGAAGCTGGGCATGGTGGCAGGCACCTATAATCTCAGCTATTCAGGAGGCTGAGGCAGGAGAATTGTTTGAACCCAGGGGTCAGAGGTTGCAGTGAGCCAAGACTGTGCCACTGCACTCCAGCCTGGGTGAACGAGTGAAACTCTGTCTAAAATAATAATAATAATAGATGGCCAGTCTTTTCCCAATGACCTACATTAGTATCTTATTTAAAAGAAACATGTAGGCTGGGCACAGTGTCTCATGCCTGTAATCCCAGTGCTTTGGGAGGCTGAAGCAGGAGTATATTTTGAGGCCAGGAGTTCAAGACCAGCCTGAGCAACAGAGCAAGACTCTGTTTCTACTATTTTATTTTATTTTTTATCTTAAAGAAACTTTTTTGAGACAGAGTCTCATTCTGTCACCCAGGCTAGAGTGTAGTGGTGGAATCCTAGCTCACTGCAGTCTTGAACTCTACCCTTGGCTTTTTATGTGTGTGTGTGTGAAGATGGAGTCTCACCATGTTAACCAGGCTAGTCTCAAACTCCTAAGCTCAAGCAGTCCTCCCTCTTTGGCCTTCCAGAGTACTGAGATTTACAGGTGTGAGCCATGGCACTTGGCCTCTGATCCTACAAAAAATTTAAAAATTAGCCAGGTGTGGTAGTTCATGCATGTAGTCCTAGCTACTCAGGAGGCTGAGGCACATGATCACTTGAGCCCAGGAGTATGAGGTTACAGTGAGCCATGACTGTACCACTGTGCTCCAGTCTGGATGACAGAGCTAGATTCTATCTGTTAAAAAAAAAAAAAAAAAAAAAAAAAAAAAAAGCAAAACAACAGCCGGGTGCAGTGGCTCATGCCTGTAATCCCAACACTTTGGGAGGCTGAGGTGGTCAGATCACTTGTGATCAGGAGTTTGAGACCAGCCTGGCCAACATGGCAAAACCCTGTCTCTACTAAAAGTATAAAAATTAGCCAGTTGTTGTGGCGGGCACCTGAATTCCAGCTGCTCGGGAGGCTGAGGCAGGAGAATGGCTTGAACCCAGGAGGCAGAGACTGTAGTGAGCTGAGATTGTGCCACTGCACTCCAGCCTAGGTGACAGAGCGAGACTCTGTCTCAAAAAAAAAAAAAAGAAAAAGAGAGAGAGAAACATGTAAAGTTGACTTTCTCCAGTCTGCCAGAGATTGTTCCTCACTACTGTCAGGTGAGGAGCAAACACAAAAGTGTAGGCACTTGCCTGTTAACATTGACAGGTCATTAGTGAGTGGAACTGGCAATTCTACACCTTTGAGCTCTAAACCCCTCACCAAAGGCAATATTTATTAATATCTACTGACTCTTTATATATAAGAATATTAGTGGTTTTTCACAAAATGCACTCCTTTATCATTTTAGCTGTACCTTCAGTAGCTATTGCTTTGGGAGTAAATCACTGGTAGAAAATAAAATATGGTATCAGGCTAGAAATCATTTCAGCATTATCACTGCAGAATAGTCTCACTGGCTGGGCGCAGTGGCTCACGCCTGTAATCCCAGCACTTTGGAAGGCTGAGGCAGGCGGATCACTTGAGGTTGGGAGTTCAAGACCAGCCTGGCCAACGTAGTGAAACCCTGTCTCCATTAAAAATACAAAAATTAGCTGGGTGTGGTGGTGGATGCCTGTAATCCCAGCTACTCAGGAAGCTGAGGCTGAACCCGGAAGCAGATGTTGCAGTGAGCTTAGATTCCGCCACTGCACTCCAGCCTGGGTGACAAAGCAAGACTCCATGTCAAAAAACAAAAACAAACAAAAAGCATAATCTCACTACTTTCAGGGTCATGAAAAAGAAAAAAAAATACCTGACGTAAAATAACCTCTTGAAAATTGAAAAACTAGCTACAATGAATGACAATGTTAGCAAACAGGTAGAAACAGACTAGGGGACAGGAGAAAAAAAAGTAAATAAAGGAAAATATCTTCTAGATTTAGAAACAGGCTGATGCTCTTAAATTTATCATTGTTTCTCTTGCTGTAGTAATTAGGAGACTTTCTAATCCCTAGCAGAAGGCAATACAGGACCAGATCACTGCCCAAAATGATACCCTGATTTTAGAAAAAAGGAAACTTCTGGAGCAAGTCATAGAGCAAGAACGTTTGATCCACAGTAACAAATGGACGATATCTTCAATCCAGAGCAGGTAGGTGCCATCCTGCCTGGGAGCCAATAAACTCCACAAGAGGATGTTTCTCCCCCAACAAAGAGATGTTTCTACAGACTGTCTTTTGAGTTTGTAGCCTACTCTATAACTCGCTCTCTGCTGTCTGCTGTTTTCAGCAGGTCATACAAATGGGAGAAATTGTTAAATTATAGAGAAAAATATCATGGACGAGGCTGGTTGGCTATTTAGGTAGGCTGTTTCATAATGTCGTTGCCTCATTGAGAACTTGGCTGTGTGCCTTCTGGCCTGTCATTTTGTGTGTGTTGGCCTACATTTTTATTCTTTGATACCTGTGGAATCAAGGTAGAACAAGAGAGAATCTCACAGAAGTAACTTAAATTCATGAAATCCACAGATACCAGTGGGTTAATTTTTAATGAGAAATATTATAAGCAAGCCGAGCGCGGTGGCTCAAGCCTGTAATCCCAGCACTTTGGGAGGCTCAGGCCGGTGGATCACGAGGTCAACAGATCGAGACCATCCTGGTCAACTTGGTGAAACCCCATCTCTACTAAAAATACAAAAAATTAGCTGGGCATGATGGCTCGTGCCTGTAATCCCAGCTACTCAGGAGGCTGAGGCAGGAGAATTGCCTGAACCCAGGAGGCGGAGGCTGCGGTGAGCCGAGATCACGCCATTGCACTCCAGCCTGGGTAACAAGAGCGAAACTCCATCTTGAAAAAAAAAAAAAAAATGAAATACTATAAGCAGAAAATAAGCCATATATCAGCCAGCCTGAGCATTCTCTTTTTCATAGGAGACTTTAATTATAATCAAAGAGAATGGGTTGATTTTAACAGATAATGTCACCAGTAATAACTGGAATGATTAAGATTTGTCTGAGCAATTACTATATGCTAGGTAGTGTTCTAAGCTCTTTCATTCATTTAATCCTGACACCAATCCCAGGAGAGAGGCACTGTTAGCCTTATTTTATGGATAGGAAGCCAAGGTCTAGAGAGGTGAGGGAACTCACCCAGCCCAGTCAGTGACAGAGCAGCATGTGGACCTCAGCAGCCTGGCCTAGACCATAGCACCATAGCCTGGGGAGAGTCTGCCAAGCAGACTGGAATGTCGTTGTCCACTGCTTTGGGCACACTCCTCTGGGCAGGCTTGGAGAATCTCTGAGGATCTTTTACTCTCTCTGTCTCCCCTTTTAGATGTCCCATATAAATCATTGCTCTTCTCAAACTGTCATAGCTTCTGACAGTCAGCACCCAACACAATTAACTCATTACCTTTGCATTAATGTTAATAATCTATCTTGCCCTACTGATGACACAATCATCTGGATTGGACTTGAATGTTTTCCTTAGAGTAAGTTTCTTCCAAGGAATATTTCCTCATTTTATGGCTAAGGAAACTGAGGCTCAAATTTGTCACAACAATGTATATTTCATCAGGTTGCTAGCATATTAAATTAGCTAATACATAAAAAGTTTTAAGGGCTTATGGTGTGGGTAAGTTATATTGCATAAGGACATGGCAAGGACTTGAAACATGGTTGCTGCTTCTGCTGCTGCTGCTATTTCTACTTCACAGGAAATCAGAATCAGATCAGTATGAGAAGGGAACCAGATACAAGCTATGTAGCTACAATATTTGAAGGGATACAGAGTCTCTCTTGTTTCATTCCCACCCCTAAATGGGATCATATCCTCCCTTACATTTTTCAAGGGCTAGAATTATGCCTTTAATACTCTTGTACCTGTATTTAATAACTATGTACAGCCCAAAAGCTTATTAACTTTTACTTGGTGTATTAGTCAGGGTTCTCTTAGAGGGACAGAACCAATAGGAGATATATATATATGTATATATGTGTGTGTGTGTATATATAAACTTAATAAACTCCCCTATATAGATATATAAGTAAAGAGGAGTATATTTACAAAGGAGAGTTTATTAAGTACTAACTTACACAATCACAAGGTCCACAATAGGCTGTCTGCAAGCTGAGGAGCAAGGAGAGCCAGTCTGAGTCCCAAAACTGAAGAACTTGGAGTCCTATGTTCAAGGGCAGGAAGCATCCAGCATGGGAGAAAGATGTAAACTGGGTTGAGACTAGGCCTGTCCCTCTTTTCCACATTTTTCTGCCTGCTTTACATTCACTGGAAGCTGATTAGATTGTGCCCACCAAATTAAGGGTGGGTCTGCCTTCCCCAGACCACTGACTCAAGTGTTAATCTCTTTTGGCAATATCCACACAGACACACCCAGGATAATACTTTGTATCCCTCAATCCAATCAGGTTGACACTCAATATTATCCATCACACTTGGACTTGGAATATGGTGGGAATTATTCTGGCAAACTTGCTTCTAAAATCTGGACAGTGGTCTAAGATCTAGGAATTTGGGGTTTTTAGTAATGATATGAAAATTTCTAATCATGCCATTGATTTATGCCATTTTTAGGGTACTTTACATAGATAAAGAAAATAAGCAATTACATGAAAATAGTCTTCGTCTCACACAGCAAATTGGCTTCTTAGAGCGAATTATAAGGAGCATTCATATTCGCAGAGGAGAGGTAAGATGTGTGCTTCCTATTGGGCCTTTAATGTGAAGTTCAGGTTGCTATGGCTGCTGTGCTGTCTTTCCCCTTTGTCTTTATATAGCTGTAGCCCTACTCTTGGCCTCATGGTAGGCTGTGGCAAAGAGGCTTTGGCTGCACACCAGGATAGCAGACCCTGAGACTGCTCTTGATCAGCTTTGCTCTTCACTGGGCCAGATTTTAGTAAATTATCTCCTCCTATGTGGTCTCCAAGCAATTTGTATATATGCCTCACAACTTTTTCCGTAATACACTGTATTGTCACTGCCCTCGTTCTTCTCTGTCTCATTAACTCAGCAGCAAGATCCTGGAGGGCAAGGATTTTATCTCGTATAGCACTGCATCTATGGACAGGTACTCCATAAATACTTGAGAATGAATAAATATTCAGTGTTTTGACATGTGTGCCTCATTCTCAACAGCCCTGTTTGCCATGTATGATTCTAGCCCCATCTGAAAGTTAAGCAAATCTGAGGCTCAGTGAAGTAAAGCAAAGTTTGCTATGGCAAAGAGTCAAGCCTAAAGAGGGCATCTGAGTGAAAGAAAAGCAATTATGTTCCAAAAGTCCAAGCAAACAAGTGGCCAAATGCAGAGAGATGCAGAAAATAGTACAGGTTCAGACCAGATCCATCGTCTGCCTGGTAAGCAAGTCAGCAATAGGGACTTCAGTGAACAGAATCGTATTCTGAAACCAAGATGGAGGCTGATTACTTTCCTCTCTGGTTTATATCACCTAGTAGATGCTTCTTCCCAAGACACTTAACAGTAGATCCTGTTTGTTGATCACTGTTGCTGTAAGACCTACATCTTATTTGGTCTCTGAGAGGTGATTATTTCCAAGCTATGTGAGGGTTTTTTTGTGTTTTGTTTTTTGCCAATTTCGTCAAAGTAGAACTGCCAAATTTTGTGGCTTGATATCCAGTAATTTATGTTTTTCCTTGAGCTACAATTGTTTTCAATTGTCTAGTCATTCATTCTTTTACTTATTCATTCAACAAATACTTATCAATTCCAGGAAATGGCCTAGGTCCTAGGAATACAAAGATAGTCGCAGTTTTCAGAAGCCTTTGGTCTAGTAGAGAAGGACAGACACTTTGTAAATAAATATTATAGTGTTACAAGTGCTGAGTTATAACTTAATTGAGTATGTTCTGGCACCAATAGCTTTGAAATCCATATTTTTACCCTTGAATCAAGGTAAGAAAGGTCACATGGGTCAGAGCTATAGCACATGAAACTCAATATTCCATATGTATCAAAGGTACCAACTTCTAACATCTTGATACCTATTAGAATAAGTAATCGGCCGGGCATGGTGGCTCACGCCTGTAATCCCAGCACTTTGGGAGACCGAGGCGGGTGGATCACGAGGTCAAGAGATCGAGACCATCCTGGTCAACATGGTGAAACCCCGTCTCTACTAAAAATACAAAAAATTAGCTGGGCGTGATGGCGCGTGCCTGTAATCCCAGCTACTCAGGAAGCTGAGGCAGGAGAATTGCCTGAACCCAGGAAGCGGAGGTTGCGGTGAGCCGAGATCGCGCCATTGCACTCCAGCCTGGGTAACAAGAGCAAAACTCCATCTCAAAAAAAAAAAAAAAAAAAAAAAAAAAAAACAGAATAAGTAACCAAAATTGTTTTTATACTTAGAATCTTAAGGAGTTTCCTGTTCCAAAATGGTGGCGTAGAGGCAAGCTGGCTTCTCTCCCCCCAACAAAAAGAGAGAAAGAAATATACAGCACTGAGGTTGTCACCAGCAATAATACAGAGCTCCAGCATGAGGATGAGTCCATTCCTGAGGTCATAGAGAAGTGGAAACATTCTGAGCAGATGGTAGGAGACTAGAACTTCCACGTCTGTAATACCCTTCCCCCCATTCTTCCAGGCACCCACTGTTTGGAAAATCTCTCTCAACTTATGGTTTCTACACTGAAACAAGTAAAATTGAGGTAGTCAAACAGATTCCCCACCTTCTTGGATTCTCTAGCCAGAAACCTGTCCTTGCCTTAACCCATGGGTATAGTATCACAACTTCCTGAAGGCAGAAATATCCCTGAAACAGAGGAGGTGGGACTCTGCTCTGTAACTCAGCCAAAGGAGACATAAGAGTGGCTGTAGGAAGTATGTCCCCCAGGTCTCCTGGGCATGAACCGCTAGACAGCCTTCCCAGGATAATCCCTTTGGGACCTCCCCTATTTGGGACAGGCAGTGCTCTGACCATTTACTAGAGCCAAGTTGAACCTGGGCTTAAGGTGCCACCTAGAGCCCAAAAGGAGGCAGTGATCTAGCATTAAAGATTTGGCCGGGTACAGTGGTTCATGCCTGTAATCCCAACACTTTGGGAGGCTGAGGCAGGTGGATCACCTGAGGTCCGGAGTTTGAGACCAGCCTGGCCAACACAATGAAACCCTGTCTCTATTAAAAATACAAAAAAATTAGCTGGGCATGGTGATGTGTGCCTGTAATTCCAGTTACTCAGGAGGCTGAGGCAGGAGAATCACTTGAACCTGGGAGGCAGAGGTTACAGTGAGCTGAGATTGAGCCACTGCACTCCAGCCTGGGTGACAGAGCGAGACTCCATGTCAAAAAAATAAAAATAAATAAATACAGGGCACGGTGGCTCACGTCTGTAATCCCAGCACTTTGGGAGGCTGAGGTGTGTGACTCAAAAGGTCAGGAGTTCAAGACCAGCCTGGCCAATATGATGAAACACCATCTCTATTAAAAATACAAAAATTAGCTGGGCATGGTGGCGCATGCCTGTAGTCCCAGCTACTCGGGAGATTGAGGCAGAAGAATTGCTTGAACTGAGGAGGTGGAGGTTGCAGTGAGCCAAGATCATGCCACTGTGCTCCATCCTGGGTGACAGGGCAAGACTCCATCTCTAATAAATAAATAAATAAATTTTAAAAGTCACCAAGTAGCTGAATGGATAAAGAAACAAGACCCAACTATATGCTGCCCTGAAGAAATCCATCTCACCTATAAAGACACATAGAGACTGAAAATAAAGGAGTGGAAAAGATATTCCATGCAACTGGAAACAAAAGAAGAGGGGGAATATAGCTATATTTATATCAGATAAAATAGACTACAAGTCAAAGACCAAAAACGAGGGTAACCTATATAAAGATAAAAGGATTGGCTGGGTGCAGTGGCTCATGCCTGTAATCACTGTACTTTGGGAGGCCGAGGCAGGTGGATCACCTGAGGTCAGGAGTTCAAGACCAGCCTGACCAACATGGAGAAACCCTGTCTCTACTAAAAATACAAAATTAGCCAGGTGTGGTGGTGCATGCCTGTAGTCCAAGCTACTTGGGAGGCTGAGGCAGGAGAATTGCTTGAACACAGGAGGCGGAGGTTGCAGTGAGCCAAGATCATGCCATTGCACTCCAGCCTGGGCAACAAGAGTGAAACTCCATCTAAATAACAAACAAAACAAAACAAAACAAAAAAGATAAAAGGGTCAATTCAGCAAGAGAATATAACAATTATAAATATCTATGCATCCAGGCCGGGCGCGGTGGCTCAAGCCTGTAATCCCAGCACTTTGGGAGGCTGAGGCAGGTGGATCACGAGGTCAAGAGATCGAGACCATCCTGATCAACATGGTGAAACCCCGTCTCTACTAAAGTGCAAAAAATTAGCTGGGCATGGTGGCGCGTGCCTGTAATCCCAGCTACTCCGGAGGCTGAGACAGGAGAATTGCCTGAACCCAGGAGGCGGAGGTTGCGGTGAGCCGAGATCGTGCCATTGCACTCCAGCCTGGGTAACAAGAGTGAAACTCCGTCTCAAAAATAAATAAATAAATAAATAAATAAATAAATAAATAAATATGCATCCAACACCAGAGCTCCCAAATATATAAGGCTAACATTAATAGACCTAAAGTGAGAGATAGACTGTAATACAATAATAAGGGGGACTTTAACATCCAACTCTCCACAATGGGCAGATCATCCTAACAGAAAATCAACAAATAGTGGAGTTAAACTACACACTAGACCTAGTAGAGTTAACTGACACTTATGGAACATACCCACTGTTGAAGAATACACATTCTTTTCATCAGCACACAGAACATTTTTCAGAATAGACCGTATCTTAGACCACAAACAAGTCTGTACAAATTCAAAAAATAGGAATCGTATCAAGTATCTTCTTTGAACACAATGAAATGAAACTAGAAATCAGTAACAGGAAAAACCTTGGAAACTACACAAGCACATGGAAATGAAACAACATATTCTCAAATGACCAATGGGTTAATTAAGAAATTAAGATTGAAAGTTTAAAATATATTGAAACAAATGGAAATGGGAATACAAAATCTATGGGACACAATAAAAGCAATATAAAGAGGAAGTTTATAATAATAAACACCTATATATAAAAAAAAGTAGTCTTTAAATAAACGACCTAAAGATGGACCTCAAGAAACTAGAAAAGAACAAACCAAACCCAAAATTGATACAAGGAAAGAAATAAAAAAGATCAGAGCAGAAATAAATGAAATTGAGATTAAAAGAACAATACAGGCCAGGTGCAGTGGCTTATGCCTTTAATCCCAGCACTTCGGGAGGCTGAGGCAGATGGATCACGAGGTCAGGGGTTTGAGACCAGCCTAGCCAATATGGTGAAACCCCATCTCTACTAAAAATACAAAAATTAGCCAAGTGTGGTGGCACATGCCTGTAGTGCCAACTACTCAGGAGGCTGAGGCAGAGTAATTGCATGAACCGGGGAGGCATAGGTTGCAGTGAGCCTGGGTGACAGAGTAAGACTCCATCTCAAAAAAAAACAAAAGAACAGTACAGAACATCAATGAAACAAAAAGTTGGGGTTTTTAAAAAAATAAAACAAAATCAACAAATCTTTAGCTGGACTAAGAAAAAAAGGGAGAAGATCCAAATAAGTAAGTAAGAAATGAATATGTCCACAGTAGGATGATGGGAAAAAAAATGAAAAGATAAAGGAGACGTAACAGCTGAGATCTTAGAAATACAAAGAATCTTATTCAAGTTTTTGTGCTGAATTTGAAAGATTAAAAAAAAATACAAAGAATCATTAGAGACTATCATGAATAACCATATGCCAACAAATAGGAAAACCTAGAAGAAATGGATAAATATCTAGAAACATACAACCTACCAAGAATGAACCATGGAGAAATAGAAAACCTCAACAAACAAATAATGAATCATGAGATCAAAGCCAAAATAACACATCTCCCATCAAAGAAAAGCCCAGAACCTTCTGGATTCACTCCTGAAGTCCACCAAGTATTTAAAGAATGAATACCAGTCTGACTCAAATTATTCCAAAAAAATAAAGAGAACGGAATACTAAAAAACTAATTAAATGAGGCCACCATTACCCTGATGCCAAAACCAAGTAAGACTTTAAAAAGATCATTCACCATGATCAAGTAAGATTTGTCGCAGGAATACAAGTTTGTTTCAACATATGCAAATCAATAAACATGATAGTCTGTCTGCCAGCGCCGCCCGGATGGCCTCCCAAAACCGCAACCCAGCTGCCGCTAGCGTCGCTGCCGCCTGTAAAGGAGCCCAGCAGAGCGGGGACGCCGCGCGGGGCCCCGTGGGCAAAAGGCTACAGCGGGAGCTGATGACCCTAATGATGTCTGGCGATAAAGGGATTTCTGCCTTCCCTGAATCAGACAACCTTTTCAAATGGGTAGGGACCATCCATGGAGCAGCTGGAACAGTGTATGAAGACCTGATGTTTAAGCTCTCCCTAGAGTTCCCCAGTGGCTACCCTTACAATGCGCCCACAGTGAAGTTCCTCACACCCTGCTACCACCCCAATGTGAACACCCAGGGTAACATATGCCTGGACATCCTGAAGGACAAGTGGTCTGCCCTGTATGACGTCAGGACCATTCTGCTCTCCATCCAGAGCCTGCTAGGAGAACCCAACATCAATAGTCCCTTGAACACACAGGCTGCCGAGCTCTGGAAGAACCCCACAGCTTTTAAGAAGTACCTGCAAGAAACCTACTCAAAGCAGGTCACCAGCCAGGAGCCCTGACCTAGGCTGCCCAGCCTGTCCTTCTGTCATCTTTTTTATTTTTCCTTAGATGGTCTGTCCTTTTTGTGATTTCTGTATAGGACTCTGTATCTTGAGCTGTGGTATTATTTTTGTTTTGTTTTGTCTTTTAAATTAAGCCTCGGTTGAGCCCTTGTGGTGTATATTAAATAAATGCATTTTGGTCAAAAATAAATAAAAAATAAACATGATACACCACATTAATAGAATGAAAGACAAAAACCATATGATCATCTTATTAGATACAGAAAAAGCATTTGACAAAATTCAAATCTTTTCATGATAAAAACTCTCAAAAGATTAGGTTTAGAAGGAATATACCGCGATACAATAAAGGCAATATATGACAAGCCCACAGCTAACATTATACTCAATGGTGAAAGTTGAAGGCTTTTTCTAGGAGCAAGGCAAGGATGTCCACTCTCATCACTTCTATTTCATATATACTGGAAATCTTTGCCAGAGCAATTAGGAAAGAAAAAGAAATAAAAACCATCCAAATAGGAAAGGAAAAAGCGAAATTGTGTCTGTTTGTTGACAACATGATCTTAATATATAGAAATCCCTAAAAACTGTTCAAACTAAGAAGCAAGTACAGTAAAGTTGCAGGATACAAAATCAACACACCAAAATCAGTAGTGTTTCTATACACCAACAACACATTATCCAAAAAAAGAATCAAGAAAATAATACCATTTACAATAACTACCAAAGAAATAAACTAGTTAGGAATAAATTTAACCAACGAGGTGAAAGATATGTATACTTAAAACTATCAAGCTTTGATGAAATAAATTAAATACAAGAAATGAAAAGATATTAGTGTTCGTGAATTGAAAGAATTAATATTGCTAAAGTGTCCACACTACCCAAAGCAATCTATAGGTTCAGTGCCATACCTATCAAAATTCCAATGTCATTTTTCATAGAAATAGAAAAAACAATCCTAAAATTCATCTGGAACTACAAAAACCCCCAAATAGCCAAGATAATATTCAGCAGAAAGAACAAAGCTGGAGGCCTCATACTACCTGATTTCAAACTATATTACAGATTGGGCATGGTGGCTCATACTTATAATCCCAGCAATTTGGGAGGCTGAGGAGGGCAGACTTCTTGAACCCAGGAGTTTGAGACCAGCTTGTGCCCAGGAGTTCGAGACCAACATGGCAAAACCCCATCTCTGCAAAAAAGTAAAAAATTAGGCCAGGCACAGTGGCTCATACTTGTAATCCCAGCACTTTGGGAGGCCAAGACAGGTGGATCACCTGAGGTCAGGAGTTTGAGACCAGCTTAAGCCTAAACAACATGGTGAAACCCCATCTCTACTAAAAATACAAACATTAGCTGGGTGTGGTAGTGGACCCCTGTAATCCCAGCTACTCAGAAGGCTGAGGCAGGAGAATCGCTTGAGCACGTGAGGCAGAGGTTTCAGTGAGCTGAGATTGCACCATTGCACTGCAGCCTGGGCAACAAGAGTGAAAGTCCAACTCAAAAAATAAAAATAAAAAATTAGCTGGGCATAGTAATCTCAGGTACTTGGGAGGCTGAGGCAGGAGGATTGCTTGAGCCCAGGTGGTAGAGGTTACAGTGAGCCATGACTGTGCCACTGCACTCCAGCCTAGGTTAACAGAGCAAGACCCTCTCTAAAAAAAAAAAATTATATATATATATATATATATATATATATATATTCTGTTTTATATATATATTCTGTTTATATATATATACTGTTTTATATATTCTGTTACATATATATAAAATAACTATAATAATTATATATATATATATATTTTCTGTTTTATATATGAACTACAATGATTATAACAACATGGTACTGGCATAAAAATAGACACATTGACCAAATGGAACAGCATAGAGAGCCTAAAACAAACCCACATATTTACAGTCAATTGATTTTTCTTTTTCTGTTGCCCAGGCTGCAGTGCAGTGGTGCAATTATAGCTCACTTCAGCCTTGACTTCCTGGGCTCAAGCAATCCTCCCACCTCAGCCTTCCAAGTAGCTGGAACGCCAAGTAGTTGGTGCACGCCATCACAGCCAGCTAATTTTTAAATTTTTTTGTAGCAATGGGGTCTTGTCTGTTGCCCAGGCTGGTCTCAAACTCCTGGGCTTAGGCAATGTTTCTTCCTTGGCCTCCCAAAATTCTGGGATTCTAGGTGTCATACACCACACCTGGCCTACAGTCAATTGATTTTTTGACAAAGAATGAGAATGACATTAAGAAAATAAGAGTCTCTTCAACAAAACAGTGTGGAGAAAACTGGATATCCACATGCAGAAGAATGAAAGTGGACCCTTACCTAACACCACATTTAAAAAAATCGAATCCAAATGGAGTAAAGACTTAAAGACAAGATCTGATACTGAGATGTTTAATTGGCATTAGATAATTTTTTTTTTTTAAAAGACAAGATCTGAAGTTGTAAAACTACTAGAAGCACACTACATAAGGAAAAAACTACATGGTGTTGATCTGGGCAATTGTTTTTTCAGTTTGACACCAAAAGCTCACAGAACAAAAACAAAAATATACAAATGGGATGGGATTACAAACTAAAAAGCTTCTACACAGCAAAAGAAACAATTAACAGAGTGAAGAGGCTCTGTGGATTGGGAGAAAATATCTATAAGCTACACATCTGATAAGGGATTAATATCCAAAATATATAAGGATCTCAACTCAATGGCAAGAAAACAACCCAATTAAGAAGTGGGCAAAGGACCTGAATAAACATTTTTCAAAAGAAGACATATAAATGGACAACAGATATATAGAGAAAAAAAAAAGCTCAACATCATTATGGAATAATTATGCACATTAAAACCACAATGAGGTATCATTTCACACCTGTCAGAATGACTATTATCAAAAAAGATGAAAGATAAGGGCCAGGCATGGTAGCATACACCTGTAATCCCAGCAATTTGGGAGGCTGAAGTGGCAAGAACACTTGAGGTCAGGAGTTCCAGACCAGCCTGAGCAACACAGCGAGACCCTGTATCTACAACAAAACAAAACAAAACAAAACAAAACAAAACAAAACAAAACAAAACACACCTGTTTTAATTAGTTGGGTGTGGTGGTGTGCACCTGTGGCTGTAGCTTCTCAGGAGGCTGAGGTGGGAGGATTCCTTAAGTCAGGGAGGTCAGGGCTGCAGTAAGCTATGTTCATGCCACTGCAATCTGGCCTGGGTGACAGAGCAAGACCCTATCTCAACAAACAAACCAAAAATGCGAAAGATAATGTGTTGGCAATGATGTGGAGAAAAGGGAAATCTTGAACACTGTTGGTTGGGTATAAATTAGAACAGCAATTATGGAAAACTGTGTGGAATTTCCCCAACAAAGTGAAAACAGAATTACCATATGATCCAGCAATCTTACTTCTGGGTATATATCCAAAGGATTTGAAGTTAGTATGTGATATACACTATGGTGTGGGAAAATGTGGTGTATACATACACAATAGAATACTATTCAGCCTTAAAAAGGAGGGAAATTCTGTCATTTGCAACAACATTGGTGAACCTGGTGGACATTATGCTAAGTGAAAAAAGCCTGGCACAGGAAAACAAATACCACATCTTCTCACTTAAATGTGGAATCTAAAACAATTGAAGCATGTAAGCATAGAGCAAAATGCTGGTTACCAGAGGCTGAGGGGTGGGGAAGAAATGGGGAGATGTTGGCCAAAGGTGCAATGTTTCAGTTGGACAGGAGGAATAAGTATTTGAGGTGATGGATATGTTAATTACCTAAATTCAATCATTCCACATTATATATCATAGCATCACTTTGTACCCCATAAATACATGTACTTGTAATTTGTCAATATTCAATAGTATAAATAAAAATTTTTAAAAACTTTCTGACCATTACAATATCCAAGAAAAATAAAAATATATGTCCTACCAGAAACTTGTACATATTCATAGAAGCATTATTCATAATAACTAAAAAGCTAAAACAACCCACTCTCCATCACTTGATGAACTGATAAGCAAAATCTGTTTTATCCAGACATTGGAATATTATTCAGCCATAAAAGACATGAAGTATTGGTACAACATAATGAACCTTGAAAACATGCTAATATTTTTTAAAATTATTTTTATTTTTATTTTAGACAGAGTCTTGCTCTGTCACCCAGGCTGGAGCGCAGTGGCACAATTTCAGCTCACTGCAACCTCCATCTCCCAGGTTCAAGCAATTCTCCTACTTCAGCCTCCCAAGTAGCTGGGATTACAGGCAGGCACCACTACGCCCGGCTAATTTTTTTGTATTTTTAGTAGAGACAGGATTTCACCATATTGGCCAGGCTGGTCTCGAACTCTTGACCCTGTGATCAACCCACCTCAGCCTCCCAAAGTGCTGGGATTACAGGCGTGAGCCACCACACCTGGCCAGATGCTAATATTTTAAAGAAGGCAAACATTAAAGGACACATATTGTATGATTCCATTTATATGAAACATCCAGAATAAAAATCCATAAAGACAGAAAATATATTAGTGATTGCCTAGGACTTGAGGAGGAATAAATGGGGAGTGGACTGTCCTAGGTATGGGCTTTTTTGGGGAGTGATGAAAATGTTCTGGAATTATCTAGTGGTGATGGTTGCATAACTGTGTGAATACATTAGAAAGTACCGAATTGAACCTGTTAAAAGGGAAAATTTTATAATATGTGAGTTACTTCTCAACAAAGCTGTTATTTTAAAATTTTTCTGCAATATCTCCAAAAAATATATATAACGAAAGAAGCAAGGTGAAGATAATATGTATAGTATCAGGTATATAAAACTAGATAGACATAGATAGTTTATAGATAGAGAGATACAGATAGATTATATATAGAGAGAGGTGGGACGGCAACCAACTTTTCATTCTATGCCCTTTTATGTTATTCATTTTGTTTGTACTATGTGCAGGCATTATATCTATCATATACATATATTTTCTAGGATCATACTAATGGTTTATCATTATAACTTTTCACATTCATCCTTTCTTTCCTGTTAGGAGACAACAATTAGTGACATCTTTGAATCTAAAGTAATGAATGAAGTATTGCCTTTATCAAACTCCAGGTTAGTAAAGTCAAGACAGTCGTCTGAGATGAAGTCCCAGCCATGCCTGAGAGTCGTGGCTGCCTAACTAGTCCTGGATTTCTGGCTTGAAAAAGCATAGCATTCTGGGGTCATTTACTCTACATGAATTATCTGAATCTTCTTCCAGTTCCTCCCCTTCACCCCTACACCCCACAGAATTCTGACATAAGATAGGAAATAATCTATGAACATAGGTTTAAGGTAAATCTTATTTGGCTTTCTTTGCATAACAGTTGCAAAAAAATTGAAATTTTATCAATGGCCTGTATCCCTGTAACCCCAAACTGCTACCAAGAAACTCTATCTACATCATGTCCTCACACATGGTCTTTCTTAGTTTTTCAGGAAAAGGTTTGGTAGAGTCATTTGTAAGTCTTCAAGAGACTGAAGAGCTTAAGTCAAAAGAAGCAATGGCAAGTTCAAAGTCCCCTGAGAATCTTTTGTGTTCACAGAATTCTGAGGCTGGATACATAAATGTGGCTTCTCTGAAAGAGACACGAGGTATACAAGAACAAGACCAAAAGTCAGAGCTATAAAATCACTGTTGCCTAAATCTATACTGAACAAAATTGCTAACTTAGAGCCTGGACACAAAAGTGGACCATGACATTGGGAAGAGTTACCACAGATCCCAAATGGATGTCAACCGAGTGTCTTCAGAATTGCTGATAAATTCATTAAAGCCATTCTAAAAGTGGATTTTTCAAGTTCGTTTGATATCCTCAGATACCTTGTATTGATCAATATATTGACTTTAGTTCAATGATTTATTTAGGTTTCTTTTCAGCAGAGCACAGGTATGGTTAATTCAGCATTCTTTCCCATTATTATGGGTATATTTTCAATTTATTTTTTAAGAGTAAAAACAATACAGTCACATTAAAGCAAATACTAAAAAAAAAAACCCTCCTATAATACCACAATCTTAACACAACTATTTTTACTTTACAATTGTTCCCTTTTGGTCATAATTCAAATACATATATTCTAAATTGGTATTATAATATTGTATATTCATTTTCACAGTCTGATTCTTCATTTACCGTATATATCATGGAAACATTTTCAATAGCCCTATGATATTCAATCATGTTGATGTTCTATAATTTTTTTTATGGGAAAAGTTTTATTTTTACTTTACTTTATTTTTTTTTTTTTGAGACGGAGTCTCTCGCTCTATCACCCAGGCTGGAGTGCAGTGGCGCAATCTTGCTTCACTGCAACCTCCTGCTTCCGGCTTCAAGCAATTCTCTGCCTCAGCCTCCAAGTAGCTGGGATTACAGGCACCCACCACCACGCCCAGCTAATTTTTGTATTTTTAGTAGAGATGGGGTTTCACCATCTTGGCCAGGCTGGTCTTGAACTCCTGACATCATGATCCACCCATCTTGGCCTCCCAAAGTGCTGGGATTACAGGTGTGAGCCACAGTGCCCTGCCCCAGGAAGTTTTAAACATTTAATGAAAAAGATTTAGAGCAATACATTATTTAAAAGTGGATAGGAGGCCAGGCATGGTGGCTCATGCCTGTAATCACAGCACTTTGGGAGGCCGAGGAGGGCAGATCACCTGAGGTAAGGAGTTTGAGACCAGCCTGGTCAGCATGGGGAAACTCCATTTTACCAAAAACACACAAAAAATTAAGCCAGGTGTGGTGGCACCTGCCTGTAGTTCCAGCTACTGGGGAGGCTAAGCCAGAGAATTGCTTGAACCCAAGAGGTGGAGGTTTCGGTGAGCCAAGATTGTGCTACTGCACTGCAACCTGGGTAACAGAGCAAGACTCCATCTCAAAATAGAATAATAATAATAATAAAAGTGGATAGGAAAATACCAAGAGCTTTTTATGGGGGAAGGGGTATGAGATTAGAGTTCACGTAACCCTCATTAAATAGAAACTACCCCTAAATATTTCCAGACAGAAGTACAAAGTAGGTGAACAGTCTCCAACTTATCTTTAGTGTAGTAGGACTGCTTCTTCAGAAAAGATCAGCAACATTCACATCCATTTCATCAGTCTGGGTGGAATAGTCCTGCCCAGTCTCTCTGAGGATGTGGGATGTTCTATAAATTAAACGTTCTCTTGTTTGGCATTTAAGTTGTTTTTGTTGTTGTTGTTGTTGTTTTGAGAGTCTTGTTCTGTCGCTAGGCTGGAGTGCAGTGGCACGATCTCGGCTCACTGCAACCTCCACCACCCAAGTTCAAGCAATTCCCCTGCCTCAGCCTCCCAAGTAGTTGGGACTACAGGCGTGCTCCACCACACCTGGCTAATCTTTTTTATTTTAGTAGAGATGGGGTTTCACCATATTGGCTAGTATGGTCTCAATCTGACCTCATGATCTGCCTGCCTCGGCCTCCCAAAGTGCTGGGATTATGGGTGTGAGCCATCACACCTGGCCAGCATTTAAGTTGTTTTTACTAATTTTTTTTTTTTTAATTTTGAGACAGGGTTTCACTCTGTCACCCAGGCTGGATTGCAGTGGCATGATTACTGCTTATGCAGCCTCAACCTCCCAGGCTTAAGTGATCCTCCCTCCTCAGCCTCTCCCAAGTACAGGCATATGCCACCATGCCTGGCTCATTTTTGTATTTTTTGTAAAGATATCTCACTCTGTTGCTCAAGCTGGTCTCAAATTCCTAGGCTCAAGTGATCCTCCCATCTCAGTCTCCTAAAGTGATAGGATTATAGACATGAGCCTCTACGCCAGGCCTGGTTTTACTTTTTTACTATTTAAGGTTATGCTCTGTTGAAGGTCTTTGTGCATGTACTTATTTTCTTTTGAATTATTCCAGAAAAGAAATCTGCAAAATTGGACTGAGTCAAAGGATATAAGTGTTAATATTGCTCTAGGACATCATTTCCTCTGCTTTAAAAAAGGGTTGTGCCTGGCCAGGTGCAGTGGCTCACGCCTGTAATCCCAGCAATTTGGGGAGCCAAGGCGGGCAGATCACTTGAGGTCAGGAGTTCAAGACAAGCCTGGCCAACATGACAAAACCCTGTCCCTACTAAAAATACAAAAATTAGCTGAGTGTAGTGTGCACACCTGTAATCCTCGCTACAAGGGAGACTGAGGTACAAGAATCACCTGAACCTGAACCTGGGAGGTGGAAGTTACAGTGAGCTGAGGCCACTCCACTGCACTCCAGCCTGGGCAACAAGTGAGACTCTGCCTCAAAAAATAAATAAATAAAAATAAACTAAATAAAAAATAGCCGGGCGCGGTGGCTCAAGCCTGTAATCCCAGCACTTTGGGAGGCCGAGGTGGGTGGATCACGAGGTCAAGAGATCGAGACCATCCTGGTCAACACGGTGAAACCCCGTCTCTACTAAAAATACAAAAAATTAGCTGGGCATGGTGGCGCGTGCCTGTAATCCCAGCTACTCAAGAGGCTGAGGCAGGAGAATTGTTTGAACCCAGGAGGCGGAGGTTGCAGTGAGCCGAGATCGCGCCATTGCACTCCAGCCTGGGTAACAAGAGCGAAACTCCATCTCAAAAAATAAAAATAAAAATAAAAAAAAAAAATAAAAATAAAAAAATAAAAAATAAAAAGGGTGGTGTCAACGTAGTGTTTTCATAGCCAAGTTACTCAACCTCCCTGAGGCTCAATTTCATGATTCATAAAATGGGAACAATAATAGTTATATATCCCATAGGGTTGTGAGGACCACATGAAATGAAGCATGTAAAGTATTTAGCACTTAGTAACTGCTTAATAAATGCTAGCTATCATCATTTCTTTTCACTAGCAATTTATCAACATACTATTTTTTTCACAACCTCATCAACATTGGATATTATCAATTTTAAACATTTATTCTAAAACAGTTGGTATAAAATTATACTGAAGGGTGACTGCTGCTGTTCCTTTTCCCCCTCCTCCCCTTCCTTCTTTTTCAGTTGAAGAAGGAGACCAACAGGAGAGGATCAGGAACCTGAAAATAAAAATGACCCTTTAAATTGAGATTCACTGGATTTTTTTTTATTTTTGTTTTGTGTCTTTTCTTTATATACACTGGATTTTTATGTGTAATCCTTGCTTCCTCAGATAACAGAGCTAGAAAAGATGATCAAAGGACATAGGAAATAATAACTTATATGAAATGCATGCTATTATATTGAATGAGCCTTGCCCAAGGTCCCTTTCACTGAATTCTTTGAATGTATTTATTGAATATCTACTACGTGCTATTCTGTAGGAGACATTGCAGCTACACTGTGAACAGGACCAGGAGTCTCTACTTTCATGGAGTTTATATGCTATTAGGAAGGAAGATATATGTGTGTGTGGCAGGAAATTAGGTGTAGACACATACCATACAAAGATAATGTGGAATGGGGGGGTAGCATGAAGAAAACAAACCAGTGATCTGAATGACCAAGGGCTACTTTAGATTAGGTCTAATGTTGCCTCTGAGAAGGTAACCTTTGGGCTGAGCCCTGAACTATAAAAACATTACTTCCCACCGGGCGCGGTGGCTCAAGCCTGTAATCCCAGCACTTTGGGAGGCCGAGGAGGGTGGATCACGAGGTCAAGAGATCGAGACCATCCTGGTCAACATGGTGAAACCCCGTCTCTACTAAAAATACAAAAAAATTAGCTGGGCATGGTGGCACGCGCCTGTAGTCCCAGCTACTCAGGAGGCTTGAGGCAGGAGAATTGCCTGAACCCAGGAGGCGGAGGTTGCAGTGAGCCGAGATCGCGCCATTGCACTCCAGCCTGGGTAACAAGAGCGAAACTTCGTCTCAAAAAAAAAAAAAAAAAAAAAAAAATTACTTCCCACAGGCATACCCCAACCAACCAACCCCCCCTCCCCACGGCCTCCTCCGCTAACCCACATTAAGATTTGGAAGGAATATTTCAGACAGAGGTAACAGCTATTACAAGGCCCTAAGGAGAGGAGGGATCTCAGTGACCTAGAGGAACAGACCGGCCAGAGCACAGTAACTAAGGGCAAGTGGCACAAGATGACGTCCGGTAGATGACAGCTAGATAAATGCACTGTAGGGCTTTGTATGCTAAGTAATTGAATTTTATTATAAATATAGGAAGCCAGGAGTGATTTATAAGCACAAGAGTTATTCTGAAAATAAAAAAAACTCTATTTGCCCTGTGGGAAATGAATTGGAAATGACAAAACTGGAAGCTTGTGGCAGAACTGAAACATAATCTATTGTACTGACTTCGAGGAAGGAGTAAGTATTTACCTAGCAAGCATTTGCGTGCCAACCTGTTCTAAACGGTGAGGACGAACAAACCAGAGTTCCTGCCTTCATGGTGTGCACACACTAGCGGCAGAAGACAGGCACAGCACGTGTGGCAGTGCAGAGGACTTGGCTGCAAGAGCCGATAAGGAGGACCCTGGGAACTGCCTAATCCAAACGCCCTAGCTAGAGCAAGATCAATTTGTATCGCCCTTAGCACAGCCACGTGAGTGGGGTGACCAGTGACCTTAACCAAAAAGATGTCAAGGTTTTCCTCCTCCTTACTCCAGCGTCCCCAGTATCAGGTGGAGTCTCTCAGCTCGACCCCAGCAGCCCCAGCACAAACCGCGCGGGGAGCCAGCTTCCGGGGGCGGGGCCTGGTCTTGTTCCGCGTCTACCGCGCCTGCTCCCCGGAGGAAACCCGCGGACTGGGCGTTACGTTCGCCGGAATCCCACGCTCCCGACTTCTGCTTCCGGGTCACAGCCATGGCGGTGGCAAATTCAAGCCCTGTTAATCCCGTGGTGTTCTTTGATGTCAGCATTGGCGGTCAGGTGAGATCCAGGAGGCTGCCCACACCTGCGCTGAAGGGAAACTGCTCCGGGATAGGCAGGCAGAACTCACCCAGAGAGAGCGGACTCGGGAAGCCAGAAAGTGAAATTGCACCCGAACCTACTGACCTGCCGGGAGTGGGGGGAAAGGAGGAGGATGAGTCTCCCCAATCCTAGCGCCCTGCTTCTGGAGGGATTGGGCGGAACGAAAGGTTAGACCAGGGAGGCAGAGGTGGGAGATAACGAGCGGCAGGGTGGTGGGTCAGCCCATCATGCCCTCTGCTCATGGTCTTTGACTAGGCCTTCTGACAGTCTCCCGCTGATTGCAGGAAGTTGGCCGCATGAAGATCGAGCTCTTTGCAGACGTTGTACCTAAGACGGCCGAGAACTTTAGGTAAGGACGTGCTCCAGCTCTGCTGGATTAGCTGAGGCAGAAGCCGAGCCCCAGTCAGCCCCCTGAATAGCCTGTCTACGTGTGTTCGTCCGCTCACTGCTCTTGAGATCTGATTCCTCCGCGCATTGCTCTGTCTGAATGGTTGCCGTTTTGATTGTTCCCGAGTCAATTTATGTTGTTACTCTGTATGTCTGCGTGTCTGAACGTCTGGCTGGCCGATTGGTGGACTTGCTGGCTCGAGTGTTTATTCTTTTCCGTCTTTAGAGGAGCTCACAACTGTGATGTCATAGTGATTGAATCGTTCACTTTTTGTCCCTTTCAGGCAGTTCTGCACCGGAGAATTCAGGTCAGTTTCAGACGTGTTTGACTTCTTTGCTTGCTCCAGAGGGGTGTCCTGGGCTGCAGTGAGGGTAACGGGGGAACCACCTGCTGGCCTTGAATGATTGCTGGTGACAGTGATAGAAGGTAATACCCCAAGGGTCTATCCCTAGTTGGTTTGCCTTCTTTATGTCTGTCAACCCTGTTTAGGAGAGTCCTTTTGGCTCCAGTGCATGGTAAACTGGAAGGGCCTTGTGCTATCTGCTGTCACTCTAATTCTCTTTCTTTTTGGTTATAGAAAAGATGGGGTTCCAATAGGATACAAAGGAAGCACCTTCCACAGGTAAGGCTTTTGGCAAGGCATCCTGGAATCTTTCAGAAATACTTCATGTGGGATTAGGCACTAATAAAATAAAATTTAAAAAGGAAGATAAAATCAGAGGGTAATTCTTACATTTCTTGAGAAGAAATGTTTTTGTGTGCTCAATAACGGAAGATTTATTAAATGTTCTAACTCTACTTATACTCCTCCACTTATTTTTATGTCTTTAAAACAGAAACTACTTATCTTTACAATATCCTGTCTTTTTCATGCACCTGTTTGTGCAAATGCAGATTAAACAAAAATACAGTTGTAATCCTAAAGTGCAAATAATATGTCCTGCTGGTTGATATTTATAATTCCTAAAATGATCATGTGTGATTGTCCAAGGATAATCATATTTCCTGGGGAGTGGAGTATGGCAACACAGTCTCATTTCAATATAGAATCTTTCTCATGGTCTCACTGTGGTTAGTAACAATGTTAGCATGTAATTATATCACAGCTTTAGAGCTGTGGGTCACTAATGCCCAGTAAGACTCCTGTGAAGTGGGAGGTGTTATCTGTATTCTACAGAGGAGGCAACAGAGGATAAGAAAGGTTAAGGACCCTCACTACGAGTAATAGCTAACAGTTGTTAAGCCCTGACATGTGTAGCAGTCCCTCTCACATAAATTCTCTGTAGTTCTTTCCCCAAAATTTACATGAAGCCTTTGATCTGCCAGGCAAGTAATGTGGTCATTCTTCCTGCAGGCTTTCAGCCCCTTCTTGTTATGTTCAGGTACCAGATCATGCACTTGATCAATTCTAACATGCCCTAGTTTATAACTAAAATCCTTTTTTATGGTTAATTATCCTTTCAGCTTAATCATTCTAGGAAAAGAAAAATCTTTTTTTTTTTTTTTTTGAGACAGAGTCCCACTCTGTCACCCAGGCGGGAGTGCAGTGGCATGATCTTGGCTTACTGTAGCCTCTGCCTCCTGGGTTCAAGCAATTCTCCTGCCTCAGCCTCCTGAGTAGCCGAGGCTACAGGCATGCACCAACATGCCTGGCTAATTTTTGTATTTTTAGTAGAGAAGGGGTTTCGCCATGTTGGCCAGGCTGGTCTTGAACTCCTGGCCTCATGTGATCTGCCCGCCTTGGCCTCCCAAATTGCTAGGATTACAGGCATGAGCCTCTGTAAGCCAAAGTGATAGTGGTTTTTTAAATCAATGTTAATCTAATATAATAATGACAAAGTCTATGTGTTTCTAAACCATAAAATCTCTCAGTAGTCTTTGCTCTCTGTTTCAGGGTCATAAAGGATTTCATGATTCAGGGTGGAGATTTTGTTAATGTAAGTATTATTCCTTTCTAATCAAAGACCTACAGTTTTAGTTTTTGTTGTTATTGTTACAGTTGCTGTTTTTACTATAGTGACCCAGTCTTAAGGCCTGAGGACAATAGCCAAGTTTGATGAGAATGGTGATGGGGAACCTTCCTGAAAGTGGCTGGGTACCACCGACTCTAGGTAACAGACTTTAGCACTTTGATTGGGACATTAACTTCTATGGTCCAAATCTCAGCCTTTTTGAGCCAGAAATTGGACTTTTTAAGAATAGCTACAGATGATCTATGATAGGCCTCCACTAATTAGTCATATGAAACTTAGTTGGAAATCAGCTGTGGTTTGTTTATGTTTTTTCTGAGTGGAGGTAAGCCTCTTTTTAGTGGGCTAAATGCTTGTCTCATTTTCTCTTTTACTTCTGGTATCACAGTACCTGGAAAACTAAGGTTTCCATAAGTTGATTCATGGCAAGGAATCAGAGCAAGAGAGGGAGATAGTTCTGGAGGAATTTTGCTCTATTCACTGGGAGAGCCCAGTGAAATAGTTCTTTCTTGCTAACCATGACTTTCTTGTAAGTAGACTGTGTCCTCCATATGAAGCCTCCCTCCCCACCCCAACCTTGGAGGGTGCAGAATAAACTACATTTTTTCTTTCTTAAACCTGCTTTTGTCCTTACTTACCCACTTCTGTGCATGGGCTTTCTTTACTCTTATTAATATCATTTGGTTAGTTGCGTTACTATTTTCTTGGATCTGGGAGGCATTTATTATCTTTTATGTCTTTGTTTAGTTTGGCTCTCATGAGTTTTTAAGATCTTTCCTTTGTAATATAGGGTTGCAGAGTGGCAGGTTTTAGGCTGAATTATGCTTTTACATATGTGTTGTTTCATCTGCATCGTGGTGTATAACTGAAATGACACAAAAAAATCCTAGAGTTTCGTTTTCGCTGTAAAAAATGGAAAGTGGAGGTACACTGGGCCTGCATTTCTTACAGTGGCACTGACAGTGACAACCGGTTGGAATCAAGGAACCGGTCCCTTTGGACATGGCATACATACCATTGCCATTTCACCACAGACTCCATACCTGTTTTTCTTATTTATGTTGCCTACCTCTGTAGGCATTTGTTTGCAACCTCTGGAAACAAATAATGGTAGTGGGGTTTGTTAGCTGGTAAGAAGGGCAGAGGAGCTATCCTCTGCCTTCTTTCCATTTTTTTCCCCCTTGATTCCCCTGTTGCCTTACAGGGAGAGGATAGCTTCTTACTAGACTTTGCCCCAGGCACAGCTGATCACTTGTTGATAACTCTAGAGTTAGACAATAGTTGCTCAGTCTGAAAGCCCTAGTTAAAAGCAATTGCTGACAGGACTTACATCTGTAATCCCAGTACCTTGGGATGCTGGGAGGATTGCTTGATCCCAGGAGTTTGAGAACAGCCTGGCAACATAATAAGACCTTGTCTTTATAAAAATAAAAACAACTTACTTTTTATTTTTTTATTTTTTGTGGTGTGCACCTGTGGTCCCAGCTACATGGGAGGCTGAGGTAGGAGGATCCCTTGAGCCCAGGCAGTCATTTCAAGGCTGCAGTGAGCCATGTTCATGCCACTGCACTCTAGCCTGGGCGACAGAGTGAGACATTGTCTAAAGGGGGACAAAAAAAGTTTGCCTAGAACCTTCCTTGGGGAAGGCAAACTGGAATGAGCAAGAACCAGAAAAATCAGAATTTGACACCTTCCAAAGTTGGACCAAGCATATTTGTTTTATTCATTTATTTTTGGTTTTTTTTTTTTTTTTTTTGAGACGGAGTTTTGCTCTTGTTACCCAGGCTGGAGTGCAATGGCGCGATCTCCGGCTCACCGCAACCTCCGTCTCCTGGGTTCAAGCAATTCTCCTGCCTCAGCCTCCTGAGTAGCTGGGACTACAGGCACGCGCCACCATACCCAGCTAATTTTTTGTATTTTTAGTAGAGACGGGGTTTCACCATGTTGACCGGGATGGTCTCGATCTCTTGACCTCGTGATCCACCCGCCTCGGCCTCCCAAAGTGCTGGGATTACAGGCTTGAGCCACCGCGCCCGGCCTATTTTTGGTTTTAATTATACTTGTTGTTTTGGTCGCAAAAGAAAAGTGCAAAGAAGAAAATAAATCACCAAGTGAATTATCCTCAATCTCACCTTACAAAGAATATGCTATCGGCATTTTGGTTTACAGCTGTCAGTCTTACCTTAGTATGTATATGTGTGTTTATATAATTTTTAATCAGACTTAAAATCATCTGTATGTTTTACTTTTTTTGTAATTCATAATTGTCCATACTTTCCCTTGTCATTGTCCTCTAAAACATGCTTTCTAATAGCCACCTAATATTTCATTATGAATAGACAAGTTATTTAATCAATTCACTGTAGTTGAAGATAAGTTGCTTTCTATTGTTTGCTCCAAATTATTGATTTTATAATTTTCCCTATTTCTGGAGAGCTGTAGATAGTGTGATTATGGAGAATGGCGTGGTAACTGATGTGTCCCTTGGGTTCACTGGGAAGTTGGTGATGAACTTATTTTCTTTCTTCCTTCTGTATTAATATGTATGTGGAGTTAGTTAATGATATAATAGCTTATTTGATTATTTATTTAGTGCTGCATTGTTTGCAAAGTGCTTTTTACAGATACTATCTAATCGAATCTTCATGATAACTGTAAAGAGTACCTAAGTTCATCCTCACTTGATAGATGAGGAAATTGAGGCTCATTTCCTCAATTAGAAGTGACTTTCCCAGCTCGTAAGTGATAGATCTCGAACTCAAATGCAGGTCTTTCTTTTTTAAAAAATTTCTTTCTTTTCCTTTTTTTTTTTTTTTTTTTTGAGACAGAGTCTTGCTCTGTTTCCTAGGCTGGAGTGCAGTAGCGTGATCTCAGCTCATTGCAACCTCTACCTCCTGGGTGGGTTCAAGCTATTCTCATGCCTCAGCCTCCCAAGTAACTGGGATTATGGGCAACCGCCACCACACGGGGCTAATTTTTGTATTTTTAGTAGAGACAGGGTTTTACCATGTTGGCCAGGCTGGTCTTGAACTCCTGACTTCAGGTGAGCCACTGTGCCAGGCCAGGTCTTTCTACTATACACACTTGATTTTATTTGATAATATTTAGCCAAATAAAGGTTTGAATTTGGACAGTTTCTCTTTTTTCTCTGACTTATATTAATCCCCTTTGGTAGTCCTTGTCCCACAGAGGGACCCTTGATTCTACACTCGGTCAGTGTTTTCCCTTTCGCCCATGTGCTGTTTCTGTTTACTAACTGGCTAGGAGAGGTTGATCTTTTTGGCACTCCTCAATATTGCTTTTAAACCTCAGGGATTCTATTTAAGGTAATGCAAATATGGCCTTGGTCAAATTGTTTTATTACCCAGACTTCAGTTTACTCACATGAAAAATGGGGAAGATGATAATGCTTATTCCTCAAGGTTGCTGGAAAAGCAAAGAGATAATGCAGATAAAGCTAGTTTAAGCAGAAATTGAGAGTTTATAATAAAGGGAGTGTTTCATGGAACTAATAGAAGAAATAGAACCAGGAACTTGAACCACAGAGAACCAAGACAGTTCTTTATCTCTGTTTCTCTAGTGCTTGCCACACATCTGTGTTGTGTTCTTTTTCTGTTCTCTAGCCCACCTTGCAGATGATAGTTGCATCCAGCTTTCAGGTTTACATGCTACAAATTTAGCCTCAGAGAGCATCTATCCCACTTCCAGATTCCCAGAGAAGGAACTCTAGTTGGCCCAGTGTGAATTAGGCATCCTTCCCTGGATCAGTCAACTTTGACTAGGAGGGTGGTATCATGTTATATAAACAGACTGCCAAGAGCTCACTCACCCTCTTAGATAGTCTGGGGGAATGGGGTGGTAGTCACTTAAGTAGGTACTTTTATGTGACTGCAGGCATGAGAGTCTTTGGGAATGGCAAGGATTGAGTTTGTGATTACCTTGTTGCTGTTCCCTACTTTGTCTATGTCTTAACTGATCTTTCTAGAGGACCAGCTGTGACCTGTTGCATCCAATCTGTACATGCTCTAGCGGACTTTGTGGGCTGTAGGTACCTTGTATAAGACTTGCTTTGATTGCAGGGTGGGGTCAAATAGGCGCAGCTTCCAAGATGACCAACAAGATTAAGAGTAGACTTTAAAGACGCCAGGCGTTAGGTGCGACAGTGTTCTTCCTCTGGTTTCCAGGGACCCAGTACTCCAAGTCACGAATACTTCCCTTCTCTCTGCTCAGGGAGATGGTACTGGAGTCGCCAGTATTTACCGGGGGCCATTTGCAGATGAAAATTTTAAACTTAGACACTCAGCTCCAGGCCTGCTTTCCATGGTAAGTGAGGTCCAATCAAGGGTTTGGGTTATAGCCAGCTGGTTTGTGGGCCCCTCTTGAGGCCCAGTGCTGTCTCTTGGGATGGAAGCAAGTGCTTTCCTTCTCTTGCTTGGCCCAGGAGTCACCTCAGCCACCTCCTTTCTCAGTTTGGTTTGATTGAGAAAACCAGTAGGTAAGCTGGAATGGTGGCTCACACCTAGAAGCCCAGCACTTTGGGAGGCTGAGGTGGGTTGGTAACCTGAGGTCAGGAGTTTGAGACCAGCCTGACCAACATGGTGAAACCTTGTCTCTACTAAAAATACAAAAAATTAGCCAAGTGTGGTGACGGGTGCCTGTAATCCCAGCTACTCGGGAGGCTGAGGCAGGAGAATCACTTGAACCCAGGAGGCGGAGGTTACAGTGAGCTGAGATGACGCCACTGCACTCCAGCATGGGTGACAAGGGTAAAACTCCATCTTAAAAAGAAGAAAAAAGAAAAGAAAACCAGTAGGTAAGGCCCACTAGCAGGCTAGCAGGCTGGGGAACTAAAATCTGAACCAGGATTTGTGGCTGGGCATTCAGCCCTACTGCTCAGAATGCAACCACTTGTGCTTTGAAGACACACATATTCATACCCAGGTGTGTGGCTCACACCTGTAATACCACCACTTTGGGAGGTCAAGGCAAGAGGATTGCTTGAGGTAAGGAGTTTGAAGCCAGTCTGGGCAACATAGTGAAACTTTAATCTCCACTAAAAAAAAAAATTAGCTACATGTGATGACACACACCTGTAGTCCCAGCTAGTAGGGAGGCTAAGGTGGGAGGATTGCTTGAGCCCAGGAGTTTGAGGCTGCAGTGAGCCATGTCCTGTTCCTCTCTGTATCCTTGGATCCTAGCTTAGGCCCTGACTCATAGATAGGTGCTAAGTTAGATTTGCTGAAAAAACAGCGTAGAGAAATCAGGGCTACAGGCTCTTTGGGGAATCTTGCCCTTCAGCTAACATGGCCAGGGAAACTTAACTGCAGGTATATTTGGTTTCTATCAGGCAAACAGTGGTCCCAGTACAAATGGCTGTCAGTTCTTTATCACCTGCTCTAAGTGCGATTGGTTGGATGGGAAGCATGTGGTGTTTGGTAAGTCCTACTCCTGTCCCATGGTCCTGGCCCCATTCACCTTGGATGGGAACTCCAGTTCTCAACTCTTACCAAGAATGCTCAACTCGTGTAACTGCTTAGGTGGTAATAGAGACAACAGAAATGGTGGGGAGGTGGGGAACATGTATGGCTAGAGAACTAGACGTAATGACGAAAGGGCCTTTGATGCAGTAGGGAACCACTTAGGGGGAAAACCCAGTTGCTAGCACCAAAGAAATGCCACAGAGGCAGCATGAAACGGCAAGACTTTGGAGTCACGCAGATGTAAGTTTGAGCGCTAACTCTCTACTTATTACCTATGACCTTGAGCAAGTCATTTCACCTCTACCACATCTCAACTTTCTCAAGTTAGTAAAAGAGTCTAATAAGATCATAGCTAAGAATGGGCTCTGGAAGCTGGAAAATGCTATGTAAACAAGAGTAAAGTCCAGTTCACACTCTTCCTACAGGAAAAATCATTGATGGACTTCTCGTGATGAGAAAGATTGAGGTAAGGACTGCTTTGATTTTTCTCTTTCTCTGCCATTCTGGTCTGGTACTGTCTGACTAGTGTCCAGGAGCTAGAGAAGGGGGAATGAGCTCCAGTTTGTCTTCATTGTCTCAGGAAAAGGGAGGAGAGACCGCATAAGTTAGCCTGTCCGGCCAACACTGAGGTTTGACCTCTGATGACCCTGTTGCCTATTTGATAAAATTCTACTCCTTGGCATTGCATTCAAAGTCCCTGTCTGCCTCTGACCCCTTCTCTTGCCACTGCCTCTTCCTTGTTCCAGTCACATCAGGCTACTAGCTTTTCTCTAAATCTGCCATACATATCCCTGCTGTTTGCCCTTTCCTGTCCCTGAGCCTTTGCTCACACTCTTTCCTCCCGCTGGAATCCCACCCTTCTAGGCACAGTTCAAACACCCCTCTTTTGTGAATCCTTCCCTGACCTCTTTAAGCAGCAATTTAGCTGCCCGTCTACCCCTTATCCAACTCTTTCTTATAACTTTTTGTTATATTATCATAGACGTGATATTTTCTAAGTGTTTTGCATCTTCTCTTTGATTATATGCTTTACCTGTCTGCCAGGACATGGATTGCCTCTGAGTGCTGAGTCCTTAGCACAGGGGCTGGCAGGCATCAGTAAAAGTTTGGTAAGGGAACGAGCAAGTGCCTGAGTGGATGAATATCCATTGTGCTTTTTTTCCTAGAATGTTCCCACAGGCCCCAACAATAAGCCCAAGCTACCTGTGGTGATCTCACAGTGTGGGGAGATGTAGTCCAGACCAAGACTGATTCAGGTAAGTGAGTCTTTCTCCTATTAGGTTAGGAGTCAGACTCCAGAGAAGGCAGCGTGGTCTAGTGGAAAGAAATTTCGTCTTGAAGACATGAGATTGAGCCCAGTTCCTCTGTGTGTGTCCTTGGAGTAATCACTTTTCTTCTCAGAACATTTTTCTTCATCTGTCAAATGGAAATACTCTAATACCTGTCTCTCAGAGTCGTTGCAAAAATCAAAAGAGAAAGGGTTGTAGGACCACTTTACTTTTCTGCCACTTTGTAATCTACAGAGTATCAATCTGAAACCCACTCAGGCTGTTTCTAACAGCACTCTTAGACTACAGTTCCATTCAGTAGTCCCCCCTAGAAACCTGGCTCCAGACCTGAGTAACTCTCTGCTGGGACCAACCTGTACAGCCCGGAGACACACCTGTCATGCCTCTCATCAGAACTGATACTGCAATTCCAGGCCTTGACTTCATATTTGCCAGCCTTGTAGGTGAATGCTTCACAGCGTCCAGCCTGTGTGGACTCATTTCTTACCCATATTTGCTACTGCCTGCTCTGCCCTGGGCAGCATGCTAGCTGCAGAGAGGGGGACAAAGAATTGAAAGATGTCTCCTTTTAGGAGCTCATGGGAAATAAGACATTCTCAGAGGTGATCACTAGTAATATGAGTGACGTTGCCAAGTGTGAGAAGAGCACAAGGGAGAAATCCATCCCTTCCAACTAGGTGAGGGGTAATGTTTTGTTGTTGTTTTTTCTCTTTTTTTAATTTTCAAACTTGCAAAAAAGTTAGAAGAATAATACCTTGAACACCCACATATCTTCACTTAAATTCACCAGTGATTAACATTCTTGTTTTATTGTTTTGCCTTGATATTTGCTTTTTTCTTTCCCTTCTTGCCTCCTCACCCATTTCCATTGCCTCTCCTCCTCTCTCCTGCTCCTCTTCCCTCTCTCCAGGCTTTCCTTTCTTTGTTCTTTTCTTCCCACCTTCTTTCCTTTATCCTTTCTTCTTTCCCATTTGAAAGTTGCAGACTTCTTGACACTTTATCTGTGAGTATTTCAGCAAGGAACTCCTAAAAATAAGAACATCCTACCTACGTAACCACATTATATATAGTACATTTTCAAACTTCCCCAATTGTCCCAAAAGTAACTTTTGTAGCTTAAAAAAAAAGGTAATCCATTCAAGGGTCCCATATTTCATTTCGTTTACGCAAGTAACATAATACACTCTCATTGTGAAAACTTTCACACCAAACAGATAAAGTGAAAGCCCCTCTTGATAACACCCCACCTCCAACTCCACTCCCCATTCCAGAGGTCACTTCTTTTTTTTTTTTTTTTTTTAACCCTGCAGAAAAACAGAGGTCACTTCTTTATCAGTCTGATGTATGTCCATCAGGGCCTTTGCCTTGCCCATCTAATTTTGGGAGGTTTTCTGTTTCCCAAATGAAATCATACTATGTTTTTCATTTTCTAAAAAGTTATGTCTTGAAAACTTTTCCTTCATAGTATGTAACACCACCTTGTATTAAAACTACCTTGTATTAAAAAATGAAAATAGCCTGTCATGGTGGTTCACTCCTGTAATCCCAGCACTTTGGGAGACCAAGGAAGGCAGATAGCTTGAGCTCAGGAGTTGAAGACCATCCTGGGCAACCTGGCAAAACCTCGTCTTTCAAAAAAAAAAACTTAGCCAAGTGTGGTGGTGCAAGTCTGTAGTCCCAGCTACTCAGGAGTCTGAGGTGAGAGGATTACTTGAGCCCTGGAGTTTAAGGCTGCAGTGAGTTATGATTGGGCCACTATACTCCAGCCTGGGTGACAGGGTGAGACCCCATTTTAAAAAAAAAGAAAAATCAAAACTTCAATGCAGGCTGAGAATCCCTAATCCGAAATCCCAAATGCTTCAAAATCTGAAACTGTTTGAGCACTAACATCAGAAGTGGGAAATTCCACACCAGACCTCATGTGATGGGTCATTGTCAAAAATTTCTTTCATGCACAAAAGTATTAAAAATATTATATAAGATCACCTTATACAATAGCTATAAGTAGCTAGGACCACAGGTGCACGCCACCACGCCCGGCTAATTTTTATATTTTTTGGTAGAGATGGGGTTTCACCATATTGGCCAGGCTGGCCAACCTTGATCTGCCCACCTTGGCCCCTCAAAGTGCTGGGATTATAGGCATGAGCTACTGTGCCCAGCTGAATATTAGTTCTTAATTTTTTTTTTTTTTTTTTTTTTTGAGATGGAGTTTCACTCTTGTTACCCAGGCTGGAGTGCAATGGCGTGATCTCGGCTCACTGCAACCTCCGCCTCCTGGGTTCAGGCAATTCTCCTGCCTCAACCTCCTGAGTAGCTGGGATTACAGGCACGCGCCACCATGCCCAGCTAATGTTTTTGTATTTTTAGTAGAGACGGGGTTTCACCATGTTGACCAGGATGGTCTCGATCTCTTGACCTCGTGATCCACCCGCCTCGGCCTCCCAAAGTGCTGGGATTACAGGCTTGAGCCACCGCACCCGGCAGTTCTTAATTTTATATGTTGTGATTTTTTTCTTTAGAATATATTTTAAGAAAAAAATTATTATTGTGTTGCGTAAGTTTGGTGATTTTTTAAAAATATATATATGATATTCTTTGTTAAAGAGAAGTTCTAAATTTTGATGGGGTCAAAATTATCAGTCTTTTCTTGCTTTTCTGTTTTGTCTCATTTAAGAAGGTCTTTACTACCTCAGATAACAAGGTTTTCCGTATTTTTTCTAGTATTTCTTTTTATATGGTGGAACTAAAATCATTTTTCTAGTATTTTTATAGTTTGTATATTTACAAAATAATCTGTAATTAATTTTTTGTATTAATTATTTGTATATTTACAAAATAATCTGTAATTAATAGTGTTAAGACTTTTTCTTGTCTTTTTTACAAATGGATATCCAGTCAGATACCTGACCATTTTAATGACGCTACACACATTTGTGACCAACTCTGTGTTCAGAATATCTGGCACTTACAGGCATTTGGTAAAAATTTATTACATGAGTTAAGTAGAGAGGGAGAATGTCAGGCATTTTAGGCAGGGAACTGGTGTGAGCAAATGCTGAGGCTGGAATGTACAAGTGTGTGCTGGGAGCTGCATGGGGACCTCTCTTGTTCAGCCTGTTGATCCTTTCTCAGGCCCACTTGACACCTTTCTGCCAGTACTGGGGTACCGCTTGGGCTCAGCCTGCTCTCCTTCTTCAATGACTGCTGGCCATTCTGTCCCTCTCTTACTCATTTCTTTGCTGTGACCAAAGTTAAGTTCATGGGTCCTTTCTTTCCAAAGATTGACCACTAATCACTACAGTGGACAGAAGATAACAAAAAGAATAAAATTTAGATATTGTTTATGTTGGGGCCTCTTTTCTGTATCTTTTTGAGTCTTTTACGTAAAGTTACTGGAAGTCCTTGTTGGGGTTTTATTTCTGAAGATGGGGATCACCAACTGTTAGCAAAAGTTATATGAACTTTTGCCTCCAAGAAAGCCATTTGTCTCAGCCTGCAACCCAAGCAGAACACATTCCTCAGGTGGCCGTTGTACATTCCAGAGGCCGTCTAGACCAGGACTGCCCATGGACTGTGATGATGGAAAGATTCCAGATCTGGGAGGTCTAGTATGGTAGCTACCAGCGCCATGTGACAAGAAAACACTTGAAATGTGGCTGGTTCATCTGAGGGATTAAACTGTTAAATTTTAATTTATTATTTATTTTTATTTTTTTATTGATAGAACTAAGCTGTAGTTTATTACATTTAAATTAGGCCAGATATGGTGACTCACACCTGTAATCCCAGCAGTTTGGGAGGCTGAGGCGGGTGGATCTCTTGAGGTTAGGAGTTTGAGACCAGCCTTGCCAACATGGTAAAACCCCCTTGCTACTAAAAATACAAAAATAAGCCAGGCGTGGTGGCACATGCCTGTAGTCCTAGCTACTCTGGAGGCTAAGGCACAAGAATCTCTTGAACCCGGGAGGCAGAAACCTCTGCCTAGATTGTGAGCTGAGATCGTGCCACTGCACTCTAGCCTGGGTGACAGAGTGAGACCTTGTCTCAAAAATAAATAAGTAAATTTAAAAAATAATAAACATAAAGAGCCAGTTGTGGCTAGTGCTACTGTACTGGACAGCAAGCTCTAAACTTAGCAACTCAGTCTACTTGCCCTGGCTTGCTCAGAACTGAATCTCGTAGCTAATACTAGGGACACTATAATTAAAGCAGTTATCTTTCATCAAATTCTTCCTGTGCCCACATAATGAGCTAAAAATTTTACTTGAATTATCACGTTTCACTTTACCAAAAAGTCCCTCTCATAGGTTTTAAAGTGTTAGGAAATCTGGGTGGCAGTCTAATGCAAAGGGGTTGGTTCCACAGATGGGTGCCCTGTTTTGGGTTTCTGAATAATGTGATTTGGGAAACATTAATGAAAAGAGGAGATGAATTTCCCAGGGAACAGGGGTCTGGAGGGAAGGAAGGTGGTATTTTTAAGTCCTGTTGGGTAGTATTTCTTTTTTATTTTATTTTATTTTATTTTATTTTGTTTTTGGTAGTATTTCTTATACTTTAATGTGCATTTGGATCTCCAGGAAATTTGTTACAAAATGGTGGTTGTGATTTGGTGGGTTTGGGTAGGGGGTAAGATTTTGCATTTCTAATCAGCTCTCAGATGATGCTGATGCAGACTTTGAGAGGCAAGGCAATGGGGAGTATGAGTCGATCTTTTAATTGAGAACTTGCCATATTCCAAAGAAAAAGACCAAGAGGAAATAATCTCTTGGTGGCACTAGCCCAGCAGGAATCAAGTATCACCTAGTCCTGCACTGGAGGCCTTGTGCCCAGGCACTGGGCATCTGTGGTGAAACAGCGAGGAAAGAGATAGAAGATGTCACTTGGTCAGTTCTACCTCCCTATGGAGCACTTCTTTCCAGAACCTTTGTGTTTTGCCTTCCTAGGTTCTGACTTTGGTTTTAGTGAAAATGAAGTTTTCTGTACAACTTTTTTTTTTTTTTTTTTTTTTTTTTTGAGACCAGTCTCACTCTGACATCCAGGCTGGATTGCAGTGGCACAGTCACAGCTTCCTCAGTGAATCCTCCCGCCTCAGCCTCCTTAGTAGCTGGGATTATAGGTGTGCCCCACCACACCCACCTAACTTTTTAAAGGTGGGCTCTCTGCTGGGCGAGGTGGCTCACACCTTTAATCCCAGCACTTTGGGAGGCTGAGGCGGGCAGATCACAAGGTCAGGAGATCAAGACCAGCCTGGCCAACATGGTGAAACCCCGTCTCTACTAAAAAATACAAAAATTACCTGGGCGTGGTGGCATGCTTCTGTAGTCCCAGCGACTTGGGAGTCTGAGGCAAGAGAATTGCTTCAACCTGGGAGGCAGAGGTTGCAGTGAACCGAGATCGTGCCACTGCACTCCAGCCTGGCAACAGAACGAGACTCCGTCTCAAAAAATAATAATAATAATAAATTTAAAAATTAAAGAAAAAAGGCGGGTTTTTGCCACGTTGTCCAGACTGGTCTCAAACTCCTGGCCTCAAGCCATCTTCCTACCTCGGCCTCCCAAAGTGTTGGAATTACAGGGATGAACCATTGTGCCCAGCTCTGTGAGAACTTTCTATGATAAATTTGATTACATATAGCATAAAGAACCTCTACCCTCAGGATTCTCCTGCTGTAGCCTGAATGTGTTCTTTTCTACTTACATATACATGGGAGACGGTGGCACCTCTGAGTTCTGGCAACTCTGCTAGTCTGATATGCTGCCCCACTCCCTGTGATCCCCAAACCTGGTACCAATATCAAGTGGTAGAGAGCTTTCCTTAATTCATTGTTGCCAAAATTCTCCAACAGATAATATTCATTTGGGGGCACTAGTTAAACCTTCGAATTCCCAGATCCCTCCCCTGGAGTGTTTGATGGAGTGGCTTTGAGGTGAGACCCAGGTTGTTATGTTTGTAACAAGTATCTCAGGTGCTTCTTTTTTTTTTTTTTTTTTGAGACGGAGTTTCGCTCTTGTTACCCAGGCTGGAGTGCAATGGCACGATCTCGGCTCACCGCAACCTCCGCCTCCTGGGCTCAGGCAATTCTCCTGCCTCAGCCTCCTGAGTAGCTGGGATTACAGGCACGTGCCACCATGCCCAGCTAATTTTTTGTATTTTTAATAGAGACGGGGTTTCACCATGTTGACCAGGATGGTCTCGATCTCTCGACCTCGTGATCCACCCGCCTCGGCCTCCCAAAGTGCTGGGATTACAGGCTTGAGCCACCGCGCCCGGCCTTCAGGTGCTTCTTAATAGAGAAATGTGGAAAACACTACTTTCGTTAGTGCCGGGATGACTTTTATTTTCATATTTGGATCTTAGAAAAAAATATATAATTAGCACAATACATAATTTTAGTTATTACAGCTTACAGTGAGGCAATGTTGAAGTTCAAATAGCGATTAGCTTAAAAAAGAAATTGTACCTGTGGATGACAGATATTGTAACAGTTGTGAAAGTACTGTTTGAATGACTGAGGTTTAGGAAACACTGTCTTTCCTTCTGGAATTACCTGCAGATGTGAGACATTCCCATAGGGGAAGATTAGGAAGGATGTGTTGGTGGCAGTTGGGCTGGTCCTCTATTCATTCCACAACCAAGCCCTGATGAATTAAGATAGATCCCACACTGCATATGAGGCTACAGATTTGAAAAGCCCAGTTCCTTCCTTCAAGGAACTCAGTCTCTTGGGAGAACTGACAATTACATTACAATAAGGCACTGTATTGGAGGTTTTAGAACAAGGTAAGGAAAGCAGAAATGTCCTGATCTTCCTGGAGTGGTTGGGAAGACTACAGAAGAGATGATGCTTCAGTTTAGTACAAGAAAGAATATAAATTGTCAGTGGCTAAAACTGACAATTCCAGGGGAGGGCATTCCAGGCAGAGGGAACGGCCTATGCAAAGTCACAAAAGGCAGGAAACAGTAGGAAGTATAGAGGAAGCTGCAAATAATTCAGTTTGACTGAAGCAGGAAGATATGAAAAGCAAATGGCAAGAATGTTGGAGAGAGGCCAGGGCCAGTACTAAGCTTAACAGTTCATATGTTATCCTGAGGCCAGGGGCTGACTTTCAGACATGAAGTATTTTTTCCCCTCTGGGGAAGGAGTCCATTATGCTCCTGAGATTCTCAAAAGGGGCACTGACCCTCCAAAAAAGAATCAGGCCAGTAGGAGCCACTGAAGGATTTTCAGCAAAAGATGGTAGTTGAATTTTCATGTTCTGAAGATGATTCTGGCAGCATTGTGGAGGACGGGCTGGAAGCCAGGGAGGAGTCCACCGCAGTAGTAGTCCAGGCAAGAGAAAAGAGGTTTTACGTGAATATATGTGTCTGGGGAGCACTGGAGATTTGGCAACAAATATTTACGTGCCTGCTGGGCATGTGACACTGTTTGTTCCCGGTCCTGAAACTCAGAAGCTCTGCCAGCTGAAAAGGCCAGGGAGGAGAGAATATTTGGCTCCAGTCCAGTCCAGTCCAAAGGCAGAGCTGCTTGCATTGCAGCCACGTCTTACACACATAGAGGTTCCGTTCTCTTCAATGGAATACTATACAGCCTTAACAAAAAGAAAGAGATCTGGATGTATTGGCAAGATTTCTCAAGTTAATTAAGTGACAATCAAGGTGTAGTAATTTATGCAAGCGTGGTACTGTTTATTTTGAATAACTTTCAGGAATCTCTGCAGTGATATATAGCAGACTGTTGATAATACTTCTTCAGAATAGAGAGAGCAGAAAGACTTTTCAGTTGCCTTATTTATGCTTGAATTTTCTACATTGAACATGTATCTTGTAACAGAAATACATCCTGTTTATATGTAGTTTTTTTTGTTTTTGTTTTTGTTTTTTTGAGATAGAGTTTCGCTGTTGTTACCCAGGCTGGAGTGCAATGGCCCGATCTCGGCTCACCACAACCTCCGCCTCCTGGGTTTAAGCAGTTCTCCTGCCTCAGCCTCCCGGTTAGCTGGGATTACAGGCACACGCCACCATGCCCAGCTAATTTTTGTATTTTTAGTAGAGACGGGGTTTCACCGTGTTGACCAGGATGGTCTTGATCTCTTGACCTCGTGATCCACCTGCCTCGGCCTCCCAAAGTGCTGGGATTACAGGCGTGAGCCACTGCGCCCGGCCTATATGTAGTTTTAACTAATCCTAAATCCTCCCAGCACCTCCCAGGAGCCTGCCCACAGCCTGCCACTCTCCTCTTCCAGGTCTAACCTAGTCAGTGGCTCCCACCTGTGTGCTCCCTTGGTTCATCTCTCCATTGGGGCATTGAACACACTGTATCACAAATGTGTTGGTCTGTTTTTCCCTGGACTGAAAACTTCTTGAAGCAAGGACCATGCTGACTAACGTAGTGCTTGGCCTGACAGAGCTTAGGTCCTGGCACACCATTGCAACTTACAAAGTACATTTATACATTTTCATACATTTCTTGGGGGCCCACGGTTAAACTTCAGTCTGTGCCTGCAGTACAATGCCCGTACTCATTGTCCACTGAAGGAAGGGGTGGCTGTGTTTGAGGAATGGCAGGAGGAGGGGGACAATAGTATCTGAGTGTACTCACCCTGTTCTCTTAGTATAGCTTGCTCGACTTCAAGGCCATAAACCAAGAGTGTGGACTGCCCTTTCTCTCTACCCTGGAACCAAAACCTGCAAGGAAGAAGGATTGCTCTTTGTTCTGGACATCCACAGAGAGTTATCAGAGTCTGACAGAAAGGACGAAGGCTTTGGAGCCAAGTAGACCAGGAAGCCCCACCACTGTCTAATTCTGTGACTTTAGTCAAGCCAGATGACTTAAACCCCTTGGCACCCTACTTCACTCCTTTGCATAATTAGATAATATATTATGCACGGAGTTGTGAAGGGCAAATAAATGAGACAGTATGCTTGACGGTAAATGTTACTTTATTTCTTCTTGGTTCTTTTGTAATATACTGCTCAACTTTGCTCTGGGGAGCCAAAGGTCTGACCTATGGTGAGAATCAAACCTGTTCGACCCTTTTGGGAAAAGAAGATTAGGAGTGTAGAGAATAGCTGGGAGTGGCCAGGTGTGGTGGCCCATCCCTGTAATCCCAGCACTTTGGGAAGCTGAGGTGGGTGAATCACAAGGTCAGGAGTTTGAGACCAGCCTGGCCAATATGGTGAAACTCCATCTCTACTAAAAATACAAAAATTGGCTGGGGGTGGTGGTGGGCACCTGTAGTCCCAGCTACTCAGAAGGCTGAGGCAGGAAAGTTGCTTGAACCCGGGAGTTGGAGGTTGCAGTGAGCCAAGATCACACTACTGCACTCCAGCCTGGGCGACAGAGCCGGACTCCCTCTCAAAAAAAAAAAAAAAAAGAATAGCTAGGAGCATTGTCTCTTATGGGATGTCCCCTTCCAGTTCCTCTGAGGTGCTTACCTTCCCATCCCACACTGACCTCCCTGTCTCTGCCATTGTAGGCCTTCCCTTTCCTTGGTGGTGGTCTTGAGTAAGATATCTGGACTGGCTCTCGTGTTTGCTTCCCTGCCTGCTGCTGCCCCATTTGATCAAGAGACCCTGGAAGTATCAGAGATTCAGAATCCAAGATTGTCTTTAAGTTTTCATCTGTAAATAAAGTTTTTTTGTATGTGTATGTTTTTTGGTTTTTTGTTTTGTTTGTGTGTTATTTTTAAATGGTTGTAATAGCCCTGTCTCCTCACACCTCAGCTTTAGCTAGGAGGACTGGCACTCCTCAGAGGCGGCATGGACCAGAGCCCTTTTGTTGTGTATCGTTGATGGCTCTGACTTGCAAGCAGTTGTAGTAAACCTAACTCTCTTGGGTTAAAGCTGATGGGCAAAGAAGCCAAAGCCCCAGGACTTTACAGTACTACTTGTTCCAAGGATGTTCCCAGTAGGTTCAATTTGGTTAATTCTGGATGGAGCCCACGGGGAAAGGGTCACTAACTTGACCTATCTACCTACCTCAGAACATCCTTGAAAGAGTCAAATAAGAGAGTGGATATGAAGTTGATTTGTAATAAACAGTAACATGCCTTAGAAAATGTTCATTTGGGGACTGGGTACAGTGGTTCACACCTGTAAATCCCAGCACTTTGGGAGGCGGGAATGGGCGGATCACTTAAGGCCAGGAGTTTAAGACCTGCCTGGCCAAGATGGTGAAATCCCATCTCTACTAAAAATACAAAAATTAGCTGGGCATGGGGCATGTGCCTGTAATCCCAGCTACTCTGGTGGCTTGAGGCACAAGAATCGCTTGAACCTGGGCGAGGCGAGGTTGCAGTGAGCTGAAATTGTGCCACTGCACTCCAGCCTGGGTGACAGAGTGAGACCCCATCTTTCTTGAAGAGGCTAAGAAGAAAGTTCCCTGATGTTTCTTTCATGAGGGACTTTCTGGGTGCTCTTTCTTACTTGCTTTCTCCTGTCTTGTGGATGTGGATGCCTCATAACTACCAGCAGTAGGATACTACAGGAGCAAAGGTAGCAAACAGCTGAATTCTATGACAATAGAACTTGGTTAAAAGTGTTGTTTCAGTGTATCAGATTGCGAAGGAGATGTTGATAAGGGCCCTACAGGAGAGACATTTGCAACTCTCTAGCCAAGTAAACATACTTCAGAGGACATTGTAGAGAAAGGACTGTCATCTAGCAGAGGAGAGATTTTTAAGTAACTAGGATGGGATTGTAAAGAGATGGGAAGGAGGGTGAACAGCTGTGATCTGGAGCTGACAGTCTTGTGATGGGCTGTTCAGTTGAATTCCCTTACACCTGGCACCTACATTCTATGCCAGTCTCTGTCCTTAGGCCCTGAAGCTAAGATGTGGCCCATACTTGTGAAAGGCAACAGGACAGTTTCAGTGCAAGGTGGTATTAGAATGTGAGCCCTTACAATACATTTGGTCTGTTTTGTTTGCTTTTTAATATAACTGCTGTTGTCCCCAACTCCTGGAAGAGGTGAGCTTCTGGTATGTAATAGACACTGAATAAATATTTGTTGCATGAATGATAGTGGTATGAGAGGAAGAGGGAAAAAAAGGCTTCTCAGAAGAGGTGATGCTTGAGGTAAGTATTGACAGGCTGGATTCGCCAGATCAACATGGTGGCGAGGACTTTCTAGAAAGAGGGAATTAAGTTCTTAAGCCATAGTCTGTTGGGGGTACAAGGTAAAAGTTCCTTTGCAGAGAAGATACTTGAGATGAATCCCTTGCCCATCACATCACTTAAAGGTAGGCACCGGAATTGTCTGCACGGTAGCCACCACGGACAGCTGGGTGGTGTGAGCTCCCAGGATGGCAGGGGGACTGGCAGAGCTCTGGAGTGGCACTCTCCTGCTTTAGAACAGGAGATGAAACTTGTCATGAACTGTTGGTGCTGCTTGTAGAGAGGTGGCTACAAGAAAATTATTATCATTATTTTTTGAGACACAGTTTCACTGTGTCACGCAGGCTGGAGTGCAGTGGCACAATCTCAGCTCACTGCAACCTCTGCCTCCCAGGTTCAAGTGACTCTCCCGCCTCAGCCTCCCAAGTAGCTGGGATTACAGGCACATGCCACTATATCCAGCTACTTTTTGTACTTTTAGTAGAGATGGGGTTTTGCGATGTTGGCTGATCTGGTTTTGAACCCCTGCCCTCAAGTGATCCGCCTGCCTCTGCCTCTGCCTCAGAGTGCTGAGGCGTGAACCACCATGCCTGGCTGCAAACTAGTTTCTTAAACAGCTCATCCTCAAGCTCACTGAGCAAGAAGAGAGAGCTGAATGAAGTAATTGGATGAGTAAGTAATGATACTTTTTAAAGTAACATAGAAAAGACAGATGTTACACAATTTGTATTTTTGCTTGAGAAGCCATCCCTTCAAAGCAGTTACATAGTGAGGTTGCTCACTTATTCTTAGAGGTGCTGCTGCAATGTTTACTAAGTGCCTTTGTAACTGGAGAAAAGCTTTCAAGCCTATAGGACAGGCGTCCCCAAACTTCTTACACAGCGGGCCAGTTCACTGTCCCTCAGACCATTGGAGGGCCGTCACATACTGTGCTCTTCTCACTGACCACCAATGAAAGAGGTGCCCCTTCCTGAAGTGCGGATAAATGGCCTCAGGGGGCCGCATGCGGCCCGGGGCCGTAGTTTGGGGACGCCTGCTATAGGACATGCTTTTAAATGGCCTCAGTGTTGGCAGAACTGCCTTTTGAGGAAAGATTTTAACATTCAAAGTCATCTGGAGCTGGAATACATGAATAGCAGCTGTGGAATCCATCCACTCTCCATACACGTTGTTGCTGCTGAAAGCCTTTTTCACCTGGATTACTGGCACAGCTGCCCAGATGACCTTTCTGCTGCCAGTACCCTTTTCAATTCATTTTCTACACCATGTCACTCATTTAACAAATGTTTAAAGGTATTATGTGTCAGGTACTAAGTTAGATGCCCAAGGAAGTCACAGTTTGGTGGGACAGATTTAATTAGAGCAATACAGTGTGTTAGGATGGGAAGGATTCTTAACCTAGTAGCATCTGAGCCAAGACCTAGAGGATGAAGAATTAATCAGCAAAGAAGAAGGAGAAAGGTTAAAGTGTTTTATGTAGAATCGTATGTGATACTCCAAAGGAAACAGTGCCTAAAGGACTCCACTAGATGACAGTCCTTTCTCTACAGTGTCCTCTGAAGCATGTTTACTTGGCTAGAGAGCTGCAAGTGTCTATACTGTAGGGCCCTTGTAGTATTTCACCATCTCCCTTGTCATCTGATAAGTGGAAGCAACACTTTTAACCAAGTTCTACTGTCATAGAATTCAGCTGCTTGCTCCTCTGCTCCTGCAGTATCTTGCAGCCAGTAGTTACTAGCACCTGCAAGGTTGGACAGGGAATGCAAAAGAGACTCTAAGACTTCTTAGAAGTCAGAGGGTCCAGTAAACCACATTAAGGAATCTGGACTACCCTAAGGGTAATGGTAGTCACTGGAAGATTTTAAGTAAGACAATGTCACGATCAGATAGATGTTCTCAAAAGAACTTTCTGGCTGTTGTGCTGGGGAATATTAGAATAAGAAGGAGGTAGAGAGGTGAGGTTAGAGCCCACAGCAGTGCTCTATGCTAGGGATCAGCCGGCTGCATTCTGTTTTTCTGTGGCTCATGAGCTAAGAATACGAATGGTTTTTAAAAATGTTTAAATAGTTGAAAATATGTAAAGATTCGTGTCATGTAAAAATTAGGGCTGTTTTCAAGCTCCAAACCTGAGTGGTAAGTCAGAACCATATGGTCAGCCAAGCTTAAATTATTAACTATTTGGCTCTCACAGAAAAAGGTTTCCCTACTCCTTGCTCTAAGCAACTGTTGATGATGGCCTAGAGTAGTGACAGTAGGAATGAAAAGACTCTGAATTGACATTTACAGAGTTTAGAACTGACTCAGGACGGCCTTTAGGAGGTGGAATTGACAGGCTTAGACGGCACCGGTAGGGGTAAAGGATACTGCACTAGCCTCCTAACTGCTTTCTCTGCTTCCATTCCTTGCCCCTTTGCAACCCATTCTCCACTCAGCAGCCATTTTTAAAAAGATGCCCCTCCATACTTAGGACTCTAAAATTGCTCTTCTCACGCTTGCCCTTAGGATATATTTCCAATTAAATATACCTAAGTGACCCTGCCCACCTCTGCAACCCAATGCCACATTGGAGCCTTACTGAACTACCTGTCTTGCATTTCCCGAGATCCCATCTCTTCTCGCCTGTACTCTGTGCGCGGAAAGTCAGCCCTCCACCTTCTCCCTGCTTCCACTCCCAAAATACTTCCTGCTTTTTTTTTTTCTTTTTATTTATTTTTTATTTTTTTAAAGACGGGGTTTCACCACGTTGGTCAGGCTAGTCTTGAACTCCCGACCTCAACACCCGCCTTGGCCTCCAAAGTGCTTGGATTACAGGCGTGAACCACCACGCCCGGCTCTATACTTCGTGCTTTTGCAGCTCTCGAGTATTTCCAGTGCTAGCTGTTTAAATTCCTGCCTCCATCAGAAGGCAGAAACTGACTCGCGAACTATTCCATCCCCAGCCGATAGTAGACGCTTAAAAAAGAACGAAAGACGGTGGGTGGAGGACTTCAATAACATCAGGTGGCAGCCTCAATTTTATCGTTTGTGAAACGTGGATAGTAATTCTTCTATCACATGGCTGTTGTCATAATAAAATGGAAAAACCAAACAGGCTAGCTTGTTCAATAAATGTGACTTGAATTAAATCTGATTTGTGGCCAGTAGAAAAAGACATGAACACTCGAAGACACTTTTTAAAAAATATATATGTATGCCTGGTAAAACGGATCAGAAGGCAGGTCCCCATGGAGCACACCCTCGCCTTAAACGTGCTAAACATGCTGAGCCCAGGCTGTCTGAGCCTGCGTGGTCCCTCCAAGGTGACTGCTCCGACAAAAGCGTAAGCTCCTCAAACGCGTACGTTTAAGGCAATTCCAGAAACCCTCGGCTGTGCCGCCACAACACGGCCATTAAAGAAAAGACTCTATGCCCGCAGTAATGTTCTCAGATCACAAGGACTGTATTTGGAGCAGGCAGGGAGGGAAGCCTTCTTTTTACGAAGGGCTAATACGTAGCCGGGCCCCCTTCCAATCCCGGGTCCGGCCGGGTAATTCCTGTCCAGCATTCGGGCGTGCCTTTTCTTCAGCAGGGACACAACCCTGAACGTGGGGCCCGCCAGCCCAGCGGCTGCCTCGTGGAAGTCACGTTCTCTCTGCCCGTCCTCTCGGGTACTCTATGGTTTTTGTGGCCGACTACTCTAATTCTAGTTCCGGTCTCTATGGCGGCCGGCGGAGGCAGGAACGGTTGTAGGTCGGCTGAATTAGCCGCCAAAGGGCCAATGAGAGTGGAGGACTGATAAAATATTATCCAGTAGAAGCCAGGAATTGGGGTCAGGTGGGCAGATTGACAGCAGCACTGGCCAGTTAACAATGCCTGGGGCGGGTCGATCGTAGGGCTTATCCCGCCTGTCCCGCCATTCTCGCTAGTTCGATCGGTAGCGGGAGCGGAGAGCGGACCCCAGAGAGCCCTGAGCAGCCCCACCGCCGCCGCCGGCCTAGTTACCATCACATCCCGGGAGGAGCCGTAGCTGCCGCAGCCGGCCCCAGTCACCATCACCGCAACCATGAGCAGCGAGGCCGAGACCCAGCAGCCGCCCGCCGCCCCCCCCGCCGCCCCCGCCCTCAGCGCCGCCGACACCAAGCCCGGCACTACGGGCAGCGGCGCAGGGAGCGGTGGCCCGGGCGGCCTCACATCGGCGGCGCCTGCCGGCGGGGACAAGAAGGTCATCGGTGAGGGCCGGACGGGGACGGGGGTGGGGCCCTCGGGAAGCCTGGCAGCGGAACCGTTAGCCTGAGCAGGGCGAGCCGGCGGGCGCGCGGCCGGCGGGGACCGACTCCGCGGCGCGCGGCCGCCCCTCCCCCAGCCCTCCCCACTCACTCACACGGGGGCCCGCCCGGCAGGCGCGCGCGCGCTGCCTCCCGCGCCCCCTGTGGACCCCGCGCGGACGCGCGCCCCTCCCCCTGCGGCCGCGCGGCCGCCAACCGCGTGTGCGACGGGGTCCCCTCCCCGCCGACCGGCCTCGTGCGCTCTGGCCCGCACGCCGTTGTTCGCGTCTCCCCCACCCAGCTCCCTTCCGCGTGTGCTCGGAGGGCGCGGCGCACCGCCTACGCAGGCCGGAGTGGGCCGGGGCGGCTTCCCCTTCCCTCACGTGCTCTCCGCCCGCGGCCTGCGCACACACCCATCCTGGGCCCGCGCCCCGGGCCTGCCCTGGAGTGCCCCGCGGCTTCAGACTCACCCACGTGTGCGGCGGCGGCGTGGCCCGGCACCCGGGAGGTGGAGATAAAGGGCTGTCAGGTGGCCGCGCTGGCAGCGTGCGAGGGACCGGATACTGAAGCCGGGCGGCTTTGGAAAAGGATAGGTGGTAATCGCGGCTTGTTTTGCTTTGTTTTCTTTTCCAGCAACGAAGGTTTTGGGAACAGTAAAATGGTTCAATGTAAGGAACGGATATGGTTTCATCAACAGGTGAGCTCCCGGGCCCTGAAGCCTCGGTCCCACCGTCTCGCTTGTTACCTGCTCTGTCGGCCTCTCGGCGCTTGGGAAGCCCCAGTCCACAGCCCTGTTCTGAAGGGCGTTTACTACCTCTGGTGTATTAGTTTGATTTTTTTTTTTTTTTTTAATGTTCCTTGACGACTGGAGGGATTAGTGGATCTAGAGAAGGTCTTTGTTTTGTAGCTAAATGTTAATTTGAAGCCAACTTCAAAGGCTTCGTTACAGTACAAAGCAATTTAAAAGGCAAGCAGAGTGAATGAGCCATGCCTTAACAGGGTAAACGGGAAACTACGGTCCTGTACGTTTTTATCCTTGTTACCCTTTTCTACTTTATTGAACTCGGTGTTTGAGAGTGTGATCCACTGACATCGGATAGTTACACCTTGCTAACATTTTGGGGGTAAGATTTGACGTGTCAAGTATATGAGGTTTTGTCACCTTTACCGAGAGATTGTGTTGCCTTTGTTTCACTTTCATTGTAATACCTTAGATAAATTTTATATTAGTACCAGAGAGAACCTGTTTTTATTTGCTCATAGAATAAATCATACATCTGCAAGAAAATGGTTCTTTGCTTTCTTCAGTTCTTATTTTTCATTCTTCCTTGTCCTAAAATTATACTGATTAAATCGATTTCTATTAGATTTCTGGCTGTAGCTTATTTAGAGTGGCCATAGTCCCTGGTAACTTGACATTGTTGTTCTTGCTTGAAGGCAAAGCTGCAGGCAACATCTTTAGGACTTCGGGTTCTTGCTGGTGATGTGCAGTACACTGGATTCCATGGGCTCCCTTGTGAGCCGGGCATCATTTTCAAGATGGCTGCCAAGGCTAGTAGAGCAGTTACATGGTTGTAGAGCCCTGGGTATGCCAGCAGCAATCTTGGCTTCATAGGTATGGTACATAGTGCCATCTCAACATTCTCTTGCTGTAGAAGACCTAAACAGATGATTAAAAGAACAATTAAGAATGTTTGTGGAATGGACAGCAAATGGACGAAATCAGGCTTAAGGACAGACATAATCATCGCTTGATGAAAAACCGTTCATTAATCAATCATACATTATTGTGGAAACACTGAGTAAGAGACAAGCATTTGATGGTCTATTCTCTACTTTTGCAATTGTGGGAAAACGTTTTGTTTCTTCCAAAGTCTTAGAATTTTCCAACCTTCTATACTGTTGCCACTGTTGTGGCTGAAACTACGTTTTTCATTAATTTTTTGATAATGGCTTATTAGCAAGGAAGGAAGGGAATGCTTATATATGATTGGTATGCTATGCTGATGGCTTATTAACTGATGTCTCTGAACTTACTAGTGTTTTAGTTTGTATTTCTGTCTCCGAACTAGTCTTAACCCTTAAACCAGTGGTTTTCAAATTTAAGTGTGCTTGCCTAGGTCTGGGTACATTTTTAGCAAGAATGATAATATGGGCCATACATTCAAAATCACTGCTTTTAACCCTTGACCCAATGTAATGGTAACTTTGGTGTGCAGATTTGCAACCTTTTCAGTGGATAGGTTGCAGTTTTGTGTGTATTTAAGAAGTTTTAGTGTGTGCCTTGTTTCGCTGCATTTTGTTAAGTGGCGTAAGTTACCACTTTTTTTTTTTTTTTTTTTTTTGAGACGGAGTTTCACTCTTGCTACCCAGGCTAGAGTGCAATGGCGCGATCTCGGCTCACCGCAGCCTCCACCTCCTGGGTTCGGGCAATTCTCCTGCCTCAGCCTCCTGAGTAGCTGGGATTACAGGCATGCGCCACCATGCCCAGCTGATTTTTGTATTTTTAGTAGAGACGGGGTTTCACCATGTTGACCAGGATGGTCTCGATCTCTTGACCTCGTGATCCACCCGCCTCAGCCTCCCAAAGTACTGGGATTACAGGCTTGAGCCACAGCGCCTGGCCCACAATTTTAAAAATCAAGTTTTATCCAAAGTAAGAGTAATTCTTTACTTAAGTATTTCATGAGGTGCCATTCATTGAATCTCTCTGTTGTGAATTGGAATCAACTCAATTGGTCATCCTCCAGGGCAAATTGTGAATTGGCTTTTGATGGTCTTTTGTTTGGTCTGTCCTAACCTCAATTATTTTGTCAAATTGACTGGTTAAAATGTTCTTTATCCTTCTGAACTGGTTGTTTTAATGATTCTGAGACTTTTTGATAAGATGCTGTAAAATCTGACTCCAATTAAATACAGAGAAGGTTTGCTTTAATTAAGGAAAATATGTGTTAAAAGAAATCAGTTTGGAAGCCAGCAGTTGGTTCTATATGTAGTTCATGTAGTGTAGTAGAACAAATAGACTTCTTGGCTGGAGGCACCTGTTTCTTAAGAGGAAAGGAGACAGACTGACACATTACATGTGCTGTTTTCTGTATAAAGGAGAGGGTGCAGTGTTTGGGATGACTGCTAAGACAACTTTTAATTGCAGTTTTTGGATGCGCTGGATTATATATTCTAGGATTGAAGATGTTGTTGTTGTCCAGGCTGGAGTGCAGTGGTGGGCTCACCACAGCCCCCACGTCTCAGGTTCGAGTGATTCTCCTGCCTCCACCTCTCAGGTAGTTGGGATGACAGGCATACACCACCACACCTAGCTAATTTTCTAATTTTAGAAGAGATGGGGTTTCTCCATGTTGGTCATGCTGGTCTTGAACTCCCCATCTCAGGTGATTTGCCTGTGTTGGCCTCCCAACGTGTTGGAATTGCAGGTGTGAGCCACCACACCCAGCCACAGTATTTTCAGTTATTTTATGTAAATTTTTTGTCTTTAAAGACAATTTCATTGTAAATGTGTTTATTCCAGCCGGAATTACCACCTCTGAGTTGTTACAACCTTGTTAGAATTGATTCATTAAAGGGTTTCTCCCTGATGATTATATTGGGTAGAAGGTGCTAAATAACCTGAGCATAGAGCTTTTTAAAATAGCGGAAGTTTTGGCTTTATTTTGTTAGACTATGTGATCTGGAAATTCTGAGAAATTCATTGAGTTATTCCTTTGTGAGCTGTGTCTACAAAAGATAATTGGAGAATGTGACTAGAGGGGTTTATTAGCTCCCTCCCATCACTGTCAGATTTTATTAGTGGTTGAGGAATGACCCAAATTCACCAAAGATTACCATGAATTAACAGTTTATGGTGACCAGAATAGGAATATTTTTGTTCTAGAGTATTCAAAATGTTAAAATTAATATTTGGAGCAAAAGTTACAAATTTGTGACCTACTGGCTAAAACTACTCCCAGATGCTTTGATTGGACAGTACAGTGTTGTTAAAAGGAATTTGGATTAATTACTAACATTATAATTCAGGCGGTAACACCAAGTAGTCCAGAGTATTATATTAAGATCTGAACTTTAGCTAGCTTTGGGGGCGTGTATTTCCACATAAATAAAAACTGCCTGGCAATATTTTCACCACATTTAGGTGGGGTATGCCTTTTTTTTTTTTTTTACCATGGCCTGTCATGCTTAGTTGTCTTAGGTTGCTGACTTCCCTTCTCACCTGGCCTTTGTGTATGCATTTGAGTTCATTACGCATGGTCTAGGAAGATGTAATAAACCAAGCCAGGGAAAGGTTTAGCTGTCTCTCTTCAGTCATGCCTATCAGGTTTAGTATCCCATTGGGGTGGGGGCTCCCTTGTGGGGATTCTATGTGTGTATAATAGGTGACTTCTTTCAAACATTGGTGAAAATACATGTAGCTAACAAGTATTTATACTATTATTTTAAATGGGTCTATTTTAAATGCTTATTTATACTATTATTTTAAAAGGGTCTATTTTAAATGCTTAAGATGAGCCAAGTCACTTAATCTGTAAAAACCTTTGATGTAGGCCAGGCTTGGTGGACCATGTCTGTAATCTCAGCACTTTGGGGAGGCCAAGGCCGGCGAATCACTAGGTCAAGAGATCGAGACTATCCTGGCCAACTTGGTGAAACCTCATCTCTAGTAAAAATATAAAAATTAGCTGGTGCGGTGGTGCACACCTGTAATCCCAGTTACTTGTGAGGCTGAGGCAGGAGAATTGCCTTGACCGAGGAGGCAGAGGTTGCAGTGAGTGGAGATTGCGCCACTGCACTCCAACCAGCCAATGGAGCAAGACTCTGTCTCAAAAAAAAAAAAGGGGGGGGCCTTTGGGGTGTAGGAACTGTCACTCTGAGGCACAAAGAATTTATTACTTGCCCCACCTCCACCCGGTAAGCATAGCTGATAAGTGGCAGTCAGGAATGGATCTCAGTTTTCTGACTCTGGAGTTAGTGTTCACCAACTGCTGTTAACGCTCTCTCTGAAATAGACCCTAGTCATCTTCAATTTGATTGTTCACATAGTTACAGATAATTTCTTAGGGTGATTATTTTTAGAGCCATGGAAAGACTCTTAAATGATCAAAGTATGTCACTGGGGCTCTTGTGTGCTAGCTAACTCCTGGCTCCCCAGATTTGAAAAGCTTTTGGCCTTTCACTATCTACTTGTGAAGTTTAGGATTGTGAAAAGTTCTGGTTTAGCATGTAGGTCAGCTTTACAAATAAAAGGACTTGCTTAATTCCTAATATTGGGAGGCAAAGAATTAAAGGAGAGAACATTATACCTTATCTCACTGAATCTCTTTTTTAATATGGCCTGCAAGATAATAACTGCTGCCCTTTTTTTTTTTCTTCTTTTCTTTTCTTTTCTTTTTTCTTTTTTTTTTTTTTTTTTTTTGAGTTGGAGTCTCATTCTGTAGCCCAGGCTGGTCTCAAACTCCTGACCTTGTGATTTGCCTGCCTTGCTTCTCAAAGGGCTAGGATTACAGGGGTGAGCCACCGTGCCTGTCCAAGGGTGTTTAATAGAGAAGAAATACAATGATAAGTGGGGGTTATTATCTTACAGTCATCTGCAAGGCTTGGGAATTGGTATCTGGTTGCTTTAGGTTATGGAGCATATAGATGCTAAATCCTGGAGTTTTTACAACCACAGGATTATAAATTAGTGTATGCAGTTAAGTGAATTAAAGTGTTAAACTGACTTGGTATGGTAATCTGCAACAAAGTAGAAGTATAAGAGCATTTAGTTAATGGATAAAGTTATGTATAATAAGCCTTATTTAAGGCAGTACTGTGGATTGGCCCCCCCAAAAAAATTAGCCTATCTTTTATGTGGATAGATAATACAGCTAGAATAAAGATAGTTGTGTTTTAGGAGTGGGAGGGTGGTCAAACATGGTGAACATGCTGGAGTAGCATCCTCCAGTTTGGATGGATTGGGCCCTGGAAAGCAACTGCTGGGATTTTTAGTTCCTATGGCAAGCAGACTGTCAGGCAAGCTGTAATTGTCTTTTGAGTTATTAAAAAGTTTTCCAGGGAAGTTAACGTTTTTTTGCCTTTGTTTTCATGTTTTGAGTTGCATTTTGTCTGTTTTTAAGACCCTTACCAATACGGATAGACTAGTATAGGAGAGGGTGTAATTAGATTTTAATTTTCAAAGCTAGCTAATATCAGTAATAAATGCCCAATAAATACTGAGAAGATTTGAATGCCTACCTTAGTAAGTTATTAAATGTTTAGTATAGTTTTTCTCATTTTGCGGGTAAAAAAGCCAATGAGGCTTTTAACAAAATGTTTTGACATTAGGGAAAGCTTAAAGACTTTTCTGGTTTCAGAGCTGTTAATAGTTGAATCAAGACTAAAAATATAGCAGGGCATGGTGGTGCACACCTGTAATCCCAGCTCCTCCTGGCTGAAGTGCGAGAACTTGAACCCGGAAGACAGGTTGCAGTGAGCCAAGATTGCCACTGCACTCCAGCCTGGGCGACAGAGTAAGACTCTCCGAAAAAAAAATAAATGAGTACTGTTTTTTCTTTCTTGCTTTCTTAGATCTACAGAGGGGTTTAATAATGTAAATATCGCATATATTTCCATTTTTAACACCATATTTAAGTTTCCACTTTTTTAGCAATAGAAAATGATTTAAAAAGTTTTCTCCAATATAATAATATAAATGGGAAATATTATAGACAGTCATACTAACCCAACGAATAATATTCACAAGAAGCAAAATTTGTTGGCGGGGGTGGGTTCTATATTGTTACATATATACAGGGCAGCAGCACCAGAACCACATTTAGAGGAATATTTTTTATTTCTAATTAAAAGAAAGCGATAGAGGACACTCCTCTGTCCTGCAAGTCTAATTGTACCTATGTATGCTTCACATTTTGTAGGTGGTCGAGAAGAATACAAAGAAATACTTTATCCAAATTTGGAGTTCAGGGCCTGATTGTCCTAGCTTAAGCCTGTAGGAACTTGACAGCTTATTCATACCTCTCATCTTTAGTCACGGTTTTCTTTCTCCATCCTTTTCCTCTCTAACTACCCTGTGCCATTTAGACTTGAAATTTTCTTTTTGGATTATCTTTACTACTGTATAACTTTTATTTTTAGAATATTCCTTATTTCTATAAGTAGATGGGGGAGCTAGAGCTAGAAAAGGGTCAGTTTCAGTGTTAATTTCCCAGCAAGCACCTGAGAGAAAAACTGAAAAAAGAATAGTGGTAGCTAGGAGAGCAGTGACACCTGCACCCAGAAAGCTGCACTGCAGCCGTCTAATATTTGAGGCTCTCCTTTGTTATGACTCTTCCAATTTAAACTAGAAAATTCTGACTGGTTGCAAATTCAAAGCAGATCCATACATTTAAAGCAGTGGTTCAACAAATCACTCTTTTTAATGTTGCAGTATTTTTATTGTAATTGATGTTTTCAATAAATATCTTGAGCTTGAGGCCCTGGCTATTCCTTTTGGAGTACTATTTTTTCTGTCATGACATTGATCAGTGAACTATATTGGTTTCACGTATCTATCTTTGTACCCACAAAACACCTTCCTGTTTTTGCAGGAGTGACATTACCATGTGTGTAATCCCAGCCTTGTACTTTCTCTGTTCAGAGACAGGGTCTTGCTCTGTTACCCAGGATGGAGTGCTATGGCATGATTAGAGCTCACTGCACCCTCAATTCCTGGACTTGAGTGGGAGCCCGGCTAATTATTTTTCTGTAGATACAGGGTCTCACCACATTGCCCAGGCAGGTCTCAAACTCTTGGCTTCAAGAAATTCTCATACCTTGGTATGCCAAGTGCTGGGATTACAGGCATGAGCCACCACACCAGCCTAACTCATGTGCTATTTTTAAGAAAATTGTTGTTTTGGTAAAATTTTCTAATATTCCTTTTATAACCCTGAAGTAAATTTATAAACTACTTTTACTTTTTATTTCAGAATATGATGATACTGATAATGTGAATACCTGTTTGTAACTACATTAGAAGGCGTAACAGTCAATGCCAACACAAAATGGATTGATAAATGATGTATTATCCAGATACCATGAGTAGCATTATCAATAATGAAAAATTCTCCATGGAAGTTGTATTTTTAGTGAATTTAATGCGTGTTAAACAGTACAGAAATACATACACGACTCAGATAATAAACAAATTTGCATTCTATACCAAATCTTTAGATAGTCTTCCAGCAACTAATACCCCCACTTCCATTAATGCAAATAGTGCTCCCTATCTTTGGAAAAGTTGTTGTTGTTGTTGTTGTTGTTGTTGTTTTTTGAGTTAAGAGTCTCATTCTGTCGCCCAGGGTGGAGTGCAGCAGCTTGCTGCAACCTCTGCCTCCCAGATTCATGCAGTTCTCCTGCCTCACTCTCCAGAGTAGCTGGGACTACAGGCACGTGCTGCCATGCCTGGCTAATTTTTTGCACTTATAGTAGAGACGGGGTTTTGTGATATTGGCCAGGCTGGTCTCTCAAACTCCTGGCTTCAGTGATCCTCCCACCTTGGCCTCCCAAAGTGCTGGGTGGGAGTACAGGCATGAGCTACTGCACCTGGCCTGGAAAAACTTTAAGTGCTCTGCAGGGGGATTTATTGCCCCCATTGAAAATCACTATTCTAGACTTTGCCTGCCTTTATTTATCATACTCTACCATTTTTTAAATTGTATTTCCCCTTAGAGCCTTAGAGTTTGAAATTCAGTCATGCTGGAGAGCAGAACTAATAAATGATGGCTGCAATCTGTTTTTGTGGTGCCTGTGGAACTATGGACAGATGGACATTGTGTACAGCCATCATTTCCCTAGGCATACCTAATCATATAGCTTGAAAGGTCGATTTTCAGTCATTTGCCTCAAGTAACTTTTACATAGTCTTCGTCTTCCTGTTCCATTTTTTTAATTGTCCTTTTCCCATAAGTTAGAAATGTTCATTTAATAATCCAAGTTATTGTTATACCTGAGCGAGTTTAAACAGAAGCACCACGCTCTGAGTTTGTTGAGAGTCCCCTTTTAGTGCCGGCCCTGTTTCTTAGAAAATTGATTACAAAGATGCCAGGTGTCTCAGACCAGAAGCTCTCAGAACAGAATGCCCTACGTAGCTCAGGGTGGGCAAAATGGAGTTAGCAGGATTATTTAAAATGTATTCATTACAGTCAAGCTCTAGGGTATTTCATTGTAATTTACAGATCAGAATTATTTTTTTTAAGACGAGGTTTTACCATGTTGGTCAGGCGGTCTTGAACTCCCGACCTCAGGTGACCGCCCAGCTGAATTATAATTGATTTTGTGTGGATCCTTTGCATATATTGCTCCTTAGTTCAGCAGGAAGCTAATAGTAAGCCAATTTGTCTAGTTCATTATAATCTTTGTTCCCTTTCTCATTAAACACTAGAGCTACTATTGAGCTTTTTTTTATTCTGACCTGATGGAATAAAGAAGGCGAGGCAGGATGCTACAGGCCTGGAAATCCGTTTTATTCTCCAGTAGTGGTTCTTGCTCCTAGTATTATCATCTTAATCTCAATCTCCAGGCTACAAAGTCAGATTATTCTCCACTTTTGACATCCAGTTAATCTGCACTGTCTTTCTCATTTTGCCTCAAAAAGAGATCTCAAATAAATACCTTCTCATACATGGCCCCTTGGTCTGAACCTTCATCAGTCCTGGTCTGGGCTTGTGGAGTAGCTTTTTTATAACTAACTGGTTGGGCTTTTCCTACATTCAAACATACCTTATCACCCAAAGTCCACAGTTTACATGAGGTTTCATTCTTTGTGTTGTACATTCTTTGTGGGGAGGTGGCATTCTGCTCATTTTTATGATCTCAAGGAAAGTTGGTAGTTGGAAATGGTGAAGAGGAAGTGATTGAGGATAAAGTGAGAATGTAATTACTGATCTTCTGTTGATAACTGTGCTCTAGAGGTAAGAGGAGGGTGTGCTAGAACAGTTAATGTTTAATGGGATAAGGAGGGGCAGAATATGTTGCTAGTCACTGCTACCCTCTTAATTACGGCTCAGGAGGTCACACTTTGATTTCTTAGATTTTTTGGGGGGCTATCTTACAGGTAGTGAGGTTACAATTATTTGCAACAGCTTAAGTCTTTAAAGCAGAGAGCATGGTGGCTTGTGTCTTTTGATTTGCCAAATTTCCTGGTAGCTAGTTGGCAGCCAGAAAGTCTCTGAGAAAATTAATCTTTGGCAACATGAGATGTGTTTCATTTTCTGACTTTTTCAACTTGGTTCTGTCTTGCAGGAATGACACCAAGGAAGATGTATTTGTACACCAGGTGAGTGCTCGTGTAGATAGATATTTGCACTTCTGATTCAAGGATTTTGAGAAGAAAAGGTTAGATGTTCCCAACTTTGGTTCCTTGTGAAAGGTTAAGTCCAACTACCAGTTTATTTACCTACTTCAGGAGTAGTAGCATGCTTCAGATGTATACATTGAAACATTGTGTTAGAGTCCACTTAATTCTCTTAGACATTTCAAACTGGAATTTTGTTAACAGCTGTGGCTTTCTCAAATGTTGAGTCAAACTCATTGCACTAAATATTTATACCTAATTTCAAATGAACAAATGACTCCATGATTCTAAAGTTGAACAAATGATGTTGCTATAAATACACAAACTTTGGCAAGAAGCTTTCAGAGCTTTTCGGTCTACCTGTAGGGACAAATCTCCATAATCATGGGTAAATAAGGTAGACCTGCAAAACAGTAATTGCAGTGAATACTTGAAAAGTAGCATAAAGAGCCTTGTACTTATTCTAAACCACTTTAAATTAAAAAAAAAAAAAAAAAACCCTTGGAGAGTTTAGGCTGGCTTCAAAAATGAAAAAATCATCACTAGTTTAAGGTTAAATGAGAGGCAGTGTGACAAGATTGGCAGCTGCTCGTTAAATAATTTTTAGATTGGCTTCCAGTGTTTTGGGAAGAGAACACTATTAACATAGGATGAATACTACATACTGACTTTCTCCTCAAATATCATTTAAGGAAAATGGACATTCAGGAATTAAGATTACTGCTAAAGTAAACCACTGCATGAGGTATGTTAGTACCTCAAATTTAGGTATGTTACAGACTGCACTGAATGTACTTACCCTCCCAGATATGAAATGGGTAAGAAAAATACGTGTGTTTAGTTTTCTTACTAAGACTGTTGGTATTGTCAACTTATATTAAAATTAATTTGAGACCCTAAAACTAATTTGAGACCCTTAGTACTTTTTTGTACTATAATCCAGAAATCAAAAGACCTAATGTCAATTTCCATACTCATATTTAATTAGATACTACCTTACATAGCAGCATGTTTCATAGGAAGGACTGTCATGGGTTGGTGCTTTGTAGCTCACTGAAATATCCTATACAGCATTCAGTGACAATCAAGGAGGAAGCTATATCAATTTTTAGTACAACTAAAACCCAATCAGTTAGAGTCAAATGTAGTTATGGAAACATTTAAATTCTAAATGCAAATAAATACAGGACTACTTCAGACAAAATGTTATTTTAAAGCAAATGTTTTATAAAATTGGCATTCTTGTTTGGGTGAACACTACTTATCTATTCCTTATGCCTCTTCTGCATGTTCAAAAGAATATGTAGACTTAGGAAAAAGAGACAGCAAAGTTTATCAGTCTTGTTGCCTGTTGGCAACCCCTAAGTTTGGGGTTGGGGCAGGGGGTGGAAATGTTGTTGAAAATAAAGACTTGGGATTTTAATTATCCATACTTCTGCTATCCCCTATGACTGCAGGTAATTGATAGTTGGCTATATATGAAAGGTAATGAAAATTATGTGACAGTTTAGATGACAGATGAGATCAATTAGATCAATTATTTAACGCAACTCACCCAGTTGTACCGATTCACAAGGTGTCACCAATATGCTTTCATTTTTTTGGGGAAGTGGTTTCTTCATGTAGTTGTTTCTTGGGACTGGCTGCTCAAGTCTTAGTGATGTATCAAGGAGACTGCAGTTCTGGGCAGCTTCGCTTAATTGGCCTCAGATTCGTTGGTTGTCCTGCTTCCTCTGCAATGGGAATGCATGAATGATCCTGTAATGGATATAGCTGGGATTTGTAATGAACATGGATTTGGAGTCCCAATACCTGGGTTTAGAAATTCCCCTTACTACCTGTGTGACTTTGGGCAAGTCACCTAACTTTAAAGCCTGTTACGTTATCTGTAAAATGGGATTAACAGTGCTTCACATATCCTCTGTCATAATGAAATTGAGTAGGTAATAAGTGAAAGAATGTTGCAAAAAAAATTTCATGGAAACATGAAACGTTACTCTTCCTCCCTTCTCCTAACAGTCTGGAGAAGCAGAAGCAACAAGTCTCTAATACAAGATTTATTGAATTCTGGGGAAGTGATAACTAACAGTTCCATGCAGTCAGATAATATAAAGAATGACATAGTTAATACATGCTAACTGCATTTCCACTGAAGTATTACCAGACAGATTGGAAGGATTTTGGTTGACATTATTTGTAATTGAGTTTGGTATGGTAACACAGGGACAAAGTTGGTTTGGTCAGCTTTGAAGCATGCAAAACCAAACTCGCCTGTCATCTAAACTGACCCAGTGTGGGGCCACCTTCTACTATTAAGTGCAGTCTTTAGGGGATAGGTGGATATCCTCAATCGTTTTAAAGTTACATATAATGCTTTTGCAAAAAGCAGGTTTTAAAATGCTGTGTCTGTCTTGAGTGTTAAATTACTCGTTTTAGTTTTGTGAATAGTGCTAAAATGTTGGGGCCTTGTACGATTGGAGTATTTTGGTTGAAGTTGGGGATAGCGTGGTCCCCGCTTTCCTAACTTTATTGATGGTTTGGTCTTATTTAAAGCAAATCTTAAGTGTATATCCAACCTAAAATAATATTGACTCTGGTACATTTTAAATGAAAAAGCACATTATTCTCCCCTGTTAATCTATTTTTGGAATGTGATATTACTAGACTGCCATAAAGAAGAATAACCCCAGGAAGTACCTTCGCAGTGTAGGAGATGGAGAGACTGTGGAGTTTGATGTTGTTGAAGGAGAAAAGGTGAGGATGCTTTCTGTGTAAAGGTTTGACTTCAGTATGGAAATATTTTGGAGGTCTCATCCATTAGGATGGTGGCTCTAATGTGGATGGATATGTTCAGGTGACCTCATGAACATAGGTGCATCAAGCCTAATGTTCTGGCTGCAGTTAGAGAGCAATCTCTTCAGAACAGTGAGGAACTGATAATTTAGTCATTGCTATGCATCCCTGGCCACGCAAACACCCTCCCCCCTTTTTTTCCTTAACTTCATTTTGTTTTTTGCTTTGTTTGAAATTTGTTGAAAGTGTTCTGATTTCCTTTGTCACTATCAATATGTAATGGCTTTTGTAGGGTGCGGAGGCAGCAAATGTTACAGGTCCTGGTGGCGTTCCAGTTCAAGGCAGTAAATATGCAGCAGACCGTAACCATTATAGACGCTATCCACGTCGTAGGGGTCCTCCACGCAATTACCAGCAAAATTACCAGAATAGTGAGAGTGGGGAAAAGAACGAGGGATCAGAGAGTGCTCCCGAAGGCCAGGCCCAACAACGCCGGCCCTACCGCAGGCGAAGGTTCCCACCTTACTACATGCGGAGACCCTATGGGCGTCGACCACAATATTCCAACCCTCCTGTGCAGGGAGAAGTGATGGAGGTAAGTTTCGTCATCAGCAACAGCAATGTGATAAATTCTGGTAGGACTGTTTAGAGCTGTTAATCTTATAGAAAGCACCTTTGATTCCTAGTAAGACCCAAAAGGATTAATTTGTAGTGGAGTCACACTAGATGGTCTGTTTTTTTTGTTTGTTTGTTTTTAACTCAGATTTGGATTTATTGCATTGTGTTTTTTATTATGTTACTGATACAGTTGGCTTGATTTCCATTATCTTTTTCAGGGTGCTGACAACCAGGGTGCAGGAGAACAAGGTAGACCAGTGAGGCAGAATATGTATCGGGGATATAGACCACGATTCCGCAGGTATGGTCCACATCAACGTGTTTCTATTAAAATTTCCTCAAACCTCATGCCTCTCCTGCAGACTTCTTGACTCATTTTTCTGTTAACACTTCATGTTTTCTTTCATCAGATGCCTAAGAGGTGAACCTGAAGTCAGTTATCTTTGAGAATATATTTGAATCTTCTTTGCTGGCACTTGTTAAAAACAGCTTGTATAGATGAGGTCTGCTTTATACATAATTTTTTTTTTAATAATGAGGGTTTGGAATTTCAAATTTTCTGTCCCTGAACAGATTAAGAGAATATTTTAAACCACATCTTTTAAACCTGCCTCCTTGGTAGGGAGAAAGGAAAGCATTAGGAGTACCTGCATTGTACTGTGGCACTAGCGAGCACTCCACAGTAAGTGTTTCCACTTGAAATGACATACGTAATCTTCCACTAAATTACTTCTCAGTTTTAAGTATTTACCCCTTTTTTTGAGTTGGGGGTAGACAACTAATCTATCTGCTTGGGTGGGCATTAGAAATCCTATTAATAGATGTAATTATTAGAGTAATCAAGCAAAAGTCCCATGAGCCAAGTATATTTTAGTATATGCTGTGGTAGACTTTGAGGCAGTATTTCCAGTCCCGTGGTGGTAGGATAGAATGGTGTAATAGTTGTTTTTCTAAGGGTTTCATATTGAACCATTGAGTTTTCATAGGTCATCCCTAAAAGTTGATAGGTACTTTTGAAGAATCAAACCAGTAAAATAATGCATCGTAACTGATCACTTCAATTGCAACTTTTAAATCCCCAAATAATTGTCAAGTTTATTATTCTCCAAGTATCCAACATGTCCAAAACATACTGTGAGCCTATAAGAAGGGGTTTCTGTGTGTAGGTTTTGGAGCACTTAGTGGAGTTTTTGGAACTAGGGAATCTAGTTGATGTTGTAATACATGTATTTGTCAGCATATGTATATTGAGAGTTTTGCAAAAGCAGATGATGTCATTCTTATTTGTGTCATCATTCTTATTCTTATTAATATGTGTCCTGTCCTGAGTTTTCAGTTAAAAGAGCTGGGGTCCTAACTGATGACTACCACAATTGAAGATATCTAATTCAGTTTTCTGCCAGGAGATTGTGTTAGTCAGATGCTGGATGTTGAAGTCAGATCGGTTTTTATTTTTATTTATTTATTTTTGGGGATGGGGGGAGAGAGAGTCTTGTTCTGTCGCCAGGCATCAGACTAGAGTGCAGTGGCACAATCTCGGCTCACTGCAATCTCCTCCTGGGTTCAAGCAATTCTCCTGTCTCAGCCTCCCAAGTAGCTGGGACTACAGGCACGCGCCACCATGCCCAGTTAATTCTTGTGTTTTTAGTAGCGACGGGGTTTCACCATGTTGGCCAGGATGGTCTCGATCTCTTGACCTTGTGATCCACCCGCCTTGGCCTCCCAAAGTGCTGGGATTACAGGCTTAAGCCACTGCTCCCGGCCTCCATTGTGTCATTCTTACGCCTTTGCATCCTCATAGCTTAGCCCCCACATATCAGTGAGAACATATGATGTTTGGTTTTCCATTCCTGAGTTACAGCACTTAGAATAATGGTCTCCAGGTGATGGCAGGAAAGTGACTACTGGAACTATTCTTCTTCAGAGAGGATGGGATTTTGCCCACATGTGAAATGTTCTCCTTTTGTTAGGAACCTGATGTTTTCATGTGTAAGAGATGAGAATACATGAGCACACACATATTAATGGAAAGACATGGAAGCCTTTGGTTGCTTCGTTGAGTCAAAAGAAGAAAGAAGAAGTTTGAAAAGTTTGGGACAAAGATGTGAATCCTCTAGAAGAGAAAATAGAGATGGTAGATTTATAATAATAGGATAATAATCAAAAATTAGAAGGGAGTTGACCCAGCTTGGCTCTGTTTTTCTAGCCATTTGAGCATCAGGCTCAGGTTGGACAGAGTTGGATTTGTCTGGCATTGGTTTATCCAAATGAAGACACTGGGGTAGGGATTAGCCATACAATTAATATTGGACTTTATACTTGGATAAAGAGGGGAGAAAGGGGAAAGTGAGGAGCTTTTATTTTATTTTTGTGGAGTTAATACTGTGTTATACAAGCAGTCTTGAACTCCTGGCCTCAAGTGATCCCCCCAAAGTGCTAGGATTACAGGTGTGAGCCACTATGCCCAGCGTGGGAGTGAGATGAATACGTCATGGGATCACTGTATTACAGGTCCTAGATTAAGAATGAGAAAACAACAAGGAATTAACTAGGAAAAATAGGAAGGTACCTAATTGGGAAGTTGTGTGGTATAATTGAGAAAACCCAGGTATAAAACAACTGGACTGGGAGGTCAGTCTTAAAGCCCAGGTTATTAGAAACTGTTACCCTTGGACCTTAATAATAACTGAAAAAGATGGTAAATGAAACAGAATCCAAAATAAAATGAGAAGCCTACAGTTTTTAGAAACTGGGAGAATCAATTTAGAAGCCACAATAAGAGGTTAGAACAGAAGTCACCACTTGAGGGTTGCAAAGGAAAGTCAGAGCAATTTTGTTGAAAATTCATTATAAGTTCCAAAAGATGTGGGGAAAGGGTTTTACAGTGTACAAATGTGAATTACAGCCCATGATGACTGATAGATAGAAAAGTCCTGGGGTTTTTTGGAGTGCTGAGAGTATGGGTGGAGGAAAGGCCTTTCTGAGCACTGGGGGAAAGAAAATCCCAAAATTTGGCCGGGCGCGGTGGCTCAAGCCTGTAATCCCAGCACTTTGGGAGGCCGAGGTGGGTGGATCACGAGGTCGAGAGATCGAGACCATCCTGGTCAACATGGTGAAACCCCGTCTCTACTAAAAATAGAAAAAATTAGCTGGGCATGGTGGCGCGTGCCTGTAATCCCAGCTACTCAGGAGGCTGAGGCAGGAGAATTGCCTGAACCCAGGAGGCGGAGGTTGCAGTGAGCCGAGATCGCGCCATTGCACTCCAACCTGGGAAACAAGAGCGAAACTCCGTCTCACAAAAAAAAAAAAGAGAGAGAGAGAGAGAATCCCAAAATTTAGTATCTTTCTCTTGGTGATTAAAAGGCTCAAGCCTGTAATCCCAGCACTTTGGGAGGCCAAGGAGGGGAGGATAGCTTGAGCTCTGGAATTCAAGACCAGCCTGAGCAACATAAACATAGTAAGACCTCATCTGTAATAAAAATCAGCCATTAATGAGGTGTGGGGGGGCTTGTCTGTCTACACTCCAGGCTACTCAAGTGGGAAGATCACTTGAGCCTGGGCAACAAAGCAAGATTCTCCAAAAAAAAAAAAAAAAAAAAAAAAAAAAAAGAGAAAAAAAAAGAAAAAGATCCTTTAGGTCTAGTGCTGTGGTTCATGCCTGTTCAAGACCAACCTGGGCAATGTAGCAAGACCCTATCTCTACTCTACCTGCCCACCCCCCCGCTCCCCACCACCACCAAAAAAGCTGGGCATGGTGGCCTGAGTCTACATCCCAACTATACAGAAGGCTGAGTTGGGAATATTTGAATCCAAGAGCCTGATCATGCCATTGGACTCTAACCTGAGTGACAAAGTGAGTTACCATAGGACTGCTTTTAAAAAAAAAACTCCTGAAAAGACTTCAGTTTCAGGACACTGAGGATACATGGTTGGGATGTACTGCCTCAGCTTTATTTTGTAAAAAAGTGTACAACTCAGAGGCTTTTAGTATATTTACAAAGTAGAACAACTGCAAGCACTAATCCCAGAATATGTTCATCACTCCAGGAAAACCTGTATCCATTAGCAGTCACTCTTCATTCCACTTTGCCCCAGGCCCTGGCCACTGTTTATCTTTTTAAACTTACTTATTCTGGACATTTCATATAAATGTAATGAATCATACATTATGTAGCTTTTTGTGTCTGGCTTTCATTTTTAGCACTTTATATATTCGTGGCTTTTCCTGTCGTAGCATAGACCAGTGCTTGATTCCTTTTTATGGCCAAATCACACTCCTTTGTATCGTGTGCCATGTTTTGTGTATGCCTCAGCTCCATGGATATTTGTACTTAAACTTCTCGGCTATTGTGAATATTTATGTAATGTCTGTACAGTTATGTGGATAAGCTCTTGGGTTCATAGACCTAGGAATGGAATTGTTGGGTCCTATGCTAGCTCTGTTTACCCTTTTGAGAAGCTGCCAAACTGTTTTCCACAGCTCGCTGCACCATTTTACATTCCCCCTAGCAATGTATGAGGGCTCCAGTTTCCCCACATCCTTACGAATACTAGTTATTTTCTGTCTTACATACATTACCATTTTAGTGGGAGTGATACAGTATTTCATTGTGATTTTTAGCTTGCATTTCTCTAATGACAAATGGTTGCTGTATACCAGGCGTCCCCAAACTGCAGCCCCCTGAGGCCATTTATCCGGGCCCCCGCCGCACTTCAGGAAGGGGCACCTCTTTGTGGTCAGTGAGAGGAGCACAGTGTGTGGCGGCCCTCCAACGGTCTGAGGGACAGTGAAGTGGCCCACTGTGTAAAAAGTTGGGGGACACCTGCTGTGTACTGTTACTTTTATGAAGGGGACATCTTTGGTTTTGAACATGCTGGGTTTCGAACACATACGTTTTTAGCAGTTGTTCATCTGTAAAGGTTATACTGTTTACAAATTTGGTTACCACTTAGCCCATTTTGATCTTTTAGAATGACAGCTAATGTTGATGGCATTTGCTTACTGTTAGCTATTTCAGGATTCATTTTGTAATGCTATGAACAAAAGTTTGCTGGTCCATTAAAACCAGTTTTTAAAAGTCATCTTCCGATTTATACTCCATCTCCTTACACAAATTGCCTACAGACCGCTTGGTACAGAGAACAGGCTGGGCACGATGAGTTAGTTGCGTGAACCAAAGTGGTAACACTGCTGGGTGTGTTGAAGAGAAGAGGTTTTATCACTCTTAAGTTTAACAACATTCACCGCAGGGGCCCTCCTCGCCAAAGACAGCCTAGAGAGGACGGCAATGAGGAGGACAAAGAAAATCAAGGAGATGAGACCCAAGGTCAGCAGCCACCTCAACGTCGGTACCGCCGCAACTTCAATTACCGACGCAGACGCCCAGAAAACCCTAAACCACAAGATGGCAAAGAGACAAAAGCAGCCGATCCACCAGCTGAGAATTCGTCCGCTCCCGAGGCTGAGCAGGGCGGGGCTGAGTAAATGCCGGCTTACCATCTCTACCATCATCCGGGTAAGCAAGCCTGGATGACCACCATTTAATGGCAGTCGTGAATGGTATCTGTTTCATTTTATTAATGCAGGAGTGGGGAAAACTCAATTCTGTCAGATAATGAAAGCCATGTTATTTACATTGTGTTCTGCCCTATTCTTAATTACCTAAATATTTCCTTTTAGGCGTATTGAGTATCAGAATCATATTTGGCCACCCTTCAGCTAGTTCTCAATTCTGACACTGGAGACCTATATTCTCATGAGTATTTTGAACTATTAGAGCTTTCTATCAACTTTTCTGAACTTTATGATTTGACCAGTAAGCTGAGAAAAGTTTTCCTAGCTGTATTCTGAGAAATGTTGATTAACATTGTTACTTATACATTATTTAATAAAAGAAGTAGGATAGCTATTAGAATGAACCTATATGGTGACAAACAGTCTGTTTGGGTAAAGTGGCAACATTGATAAAATCTTTTTTTTTTTTTGAGACTGGAGTTTCGCTCTTGTCCAGGCAGGAATGCAATGGCGTGATCTCAGTTCACTGCCACCTCTGCTTCCCTGGTTCAAGTAATTCTCCTGCCTCAGCCGCCCGAGTAGCTGGGATTACAGGCATGAGCCACCACGCCCAGCTAATTTTCTGCATTTTTACTAGAGATGGGGTTTCTCCATGTTGGTCAGGCTGGTCTTGAACTCTTGACCTCGGGTAATCCACCCATCTCGGCCTCCCAAAGTGCTGGAACTACAGGCATGAGCCACTGTAATCATCTGTAGTTGTTTTTTGTTGGTTTATTCAAACTGTAGGTTAATAATAATAATTCTCTGGCAGACCGCATGATACATTTATGTTCTTGTTACCAGCTCACTTGTTTTTGTTAACCTTCCAGAATTAAGGGATTCATTTTCATTCAGCTTTTTGCATGATACTGAGAGGTGTATGATTGTCGTTCCCTCCGAAATTAGCATTCAACCAGAGGTGATTTGCTAGGTGGCAAAAGATCTGTTAATGTCTCCCAATATATAAGTAATGGAAACTAGAGCATGTAATACACTAAATGAAGATTACCATGAATTCTACGTGATCATCTTTGTTTTTTTTTTCTTTACAGTTTAGTCATCCAACAAGAAGAAATAAGAAATTCCAGCAATAAGAAATGAACAAAAGATTGGAGCTGAAGACCTTAAGTGCTTGCTTTTGCCCGTTGACCAGATAAATAGAACTATCTGCATTATCTATGCAGCATGGGGTTTTTATTATTTTTACCTAAAGATGTCTCTTTTTGGTAATAACAAACATGTTTTTTAAAAAAGCCTGGTTTTTCTCAATACGCCTTTAAAGGTTTTTAAATTGTTTCATATCTGGTCAAGTTGAGATTTTTAAGAACTTCATTTTTAATTTGTAATAAAAGTTTACAACTTGATTTTTTCAAAAAAGTCAACAAACTGCAAGCACCTGTTAATAAAGGTCTTAAATAATTGTCTTTGTGTAAATTTCTGTCTAGTTTTGCTTTAGTTTATAAGTTCTCGGGTATTTATAAGACCCTTAGCTTAACCCAGTCTGCAAATAGATGATGCTCACTGATAATTCCCTCAAGTAAAATGTCTTTAAAATCTCTAATCCTTTTAAGTACTATGCCTGTGGGTTCATACTAAAAATTAGAAAATACATATTCTGATAACCTGGCCATTTTTAAGGGAGGCTTCATGGTGTAGATTTTGTGTGGGTTCCTTTGGCTGTGTGGCAGTGCTTACAAGGGCATGCTCTAGGCTAGAGGCCAGATTCTAATCCTGTTCCACTTAGTTTTGTCACCTAGGGAGAATTTATTTCAATATGCCAATTGAAGATGCCAACTTAAAGTGTTCAGAGAACCTGTCAGAGGGTCTGGTGTGGTCACCAAATACTGGTCCAGCTCCTTATGTCCTAGAAATGGGAATAAATAATACAAAAATCCATGGGGAAGGTGCCTAAGAACATGGAGGTTGGTCAACTTGTAGTTAGGTGGTTCTCAACACCTTACAGCCTAAGCATGGACTGGATGTTCTTTTCTAATGTTTTGTTAGGTGTCTTTGACTTGCTTTCTGAAATTATCAGTCATGTAGTTGAAAGTGACTGCTGTCCAGAAACACTCTAGATCATCCTGGCCAGGTTTCAGGTCCCAGGGGAGACAGCAGAGGTAGGGAGTAGATCAGAGTGCCACATCAGGAATCCTGCAGTGCTGTGGAATTCATCTCCTGTTTGGGAATAACTCTGCCAGAGGATTTGATATGAGACTACCCAAGTTTTTTTTTTTTTTTTTTTTTTTTTACCCTACTTAGTGTAAATATTCGTGCTGCGGAAGTGAGTTTGTTAGCACATTTCTTGCTGGTGTTTATGAAAATACCCAGTTTTGGTGAGTGCAGTGGACCAGAGACTGAAACTTGGTACCATCTAAACCAGGCGTCCCCAAACTACGCCCGTGCATGCAGCCCCTGAGACCATTTATCCGGCCCCCTGCCGCACTTCAGGAAGGGGCACCTCTTTCATTGGTGGTCAGTGAGAGGAGCACAGTATGTGGCGGCCCTCCAGCAGTCTGAGGGACAGTGAACTGGCACCCTGTGTAAAAAGTTTGGGGACGCCTGATCTAAACTGTTAGGACTGCACATGAAGACAGTTCTGACTCTGGTTCAACTTGGGGGCTTTTAGTGGGATCATATTTTCTACTGAATAAACATTGTTTTCATGATATGACAGAGTTGAAATATCGTAAACCACCGTTAAGTCAACTGCAGTATTGCCAACATTAAATGCAGTTTCAGCTTATTTTCTGAGTTACGGTTTATGGGGACATTGCCTCATTGTAAACTAAAGAGCATCTGTATTAGAGTATCATAGAAATGGGAAGACCAACAACATTGGTTAAATATCCAGTAATGTTAAAAGGAGATTTTGAAAAAACACATCAAGGAGGAAACTTTTTGGGGGAATACAATCTTTTGTGTTAGCACTGCAAACAGAACTATGTGCACATTTTTAGATACTGTTGTGTTCTGTTGCCTAGGGCTTTGAGTACTTAAGGATTATTTGTAAGGACTGCGGCATCTGTACATCTCTAGAACTATCCAGAAAACTTGCAGCTAAGATCAAGATTTAGAACCCGTTCTGCCAATCAGATTTAACAACGTGAGACATGGAGACATTGCTAGGAAGCTGTGCAAACCCATTTTGCTGGAGAGGGTAGATGCTGTACTTTGGTGATGCAAGAGCAGCAATGGCTTCCTCCTATCTGCCTCTTAGATTTTCATATTCACTGAGGTTAGTTCCCCAGTCTTAGCAATTGTAAGATAACCTGTTTTCTTTTTATTTATTATTTTTTGGTTTCCTGAAGAGATATGCCATTTGGAGCAGAGTGAGCATGGGAGAGCAGGAAGTGAGGAGCAAAGCAAGTGTGTCATAGTTCCCGTTGAACATTGCACTGAAGGACCTAGGGCAATACGGTTTTTTGTTTTTTTTGTTTTGTTTTTTTAAAGGATTTGGAAGAAATAATTGTCATTATGCATAGGTGATGCTGGCCACACAAAATCCAAAAGATCTTGCAGTCAAATTTGAGTGTTTATAATTAGCTGGTTGTGTTTCTGTATAGTAATGTCTAGAAAATATATACACTATTCTTCATGGTACTGTCAAGGAAATGCAGCTAGGAGTGCATCTGTGGGTCTTTATGAAGAGAGTAGAACTATCAAAAGACGAGTATTTTTTTTTCCCCCTATGTTCATGGATATTAAGGCTTGCTAGTTTATCCAGTGATTAGATGTATTTCAGTTTTAGAGTCTTAGGGTAATTTTGGTGTGTCTTGGAAAGCAAACGGGGCTCAAGGGATGTTAAAGATTGAGATTTAAAGAGGAAAAGATGTGAAATAGTCTTGAGAAATGGGAAAACCAATAGAGTAGGGACATGCAGAATTGCCAACAGGTGGGGAGTTGGATTTAACTAGGGCTTTGCTAGGTGACTTCAACAAAGGAGGGAAAGAGCAAAGGTACCGAGTATGTATACAAACCTATGTGGTATAGCCTATTGCTCCTAGGCCACAAACCTGTACTGCATGTAACTGCTGAATACAGGCAATTGTAACACAATGTAGGTATTTGTGTGTCTAAGCATAGAAGGTATCTTATGCTGTAAACCCAGCATCTTGGGAGACCAACCTAGGCAAAATAGTAAGACCTCATCTTTATAATAGAGTTAAAAATAGCCAGATACGGTGGCACATGCCCATAGTCCCAACCACTGGAAGGCTAAGGAGGGTTAAGCCCAGGAGCTCAAGGCTGCACAGCCGTGATTGCACTACTGTACTCCATCCGGCCTGGGCAACAAAGCAAGACTCTGCCTCTAAAAAAATGAAAATGAAAAATAATGAGAAAAGGCACAGCAAAAAGGCCATATAAATGATTTTTTAAAAGGGACATCTGTACTTACCATAAGTTGACCATGCAAGACTCTGGGTGAAAATTAAAACTTGTGGGTTCAGGGGTACATGTGCAGGTTTGTGATTTAGGTAAACTTGTGACCCCCCCTATCACTGTCTTAACAATACACTTGTCCCGCTGAAAGGTCTTCAGGTGCATTAATATTGAATGGAACTGCCATCTCCTGTGATAATGATGAAAGTGCCTTCTGGAATACCGCCTGAGGGACCTGTCTGAGGCTAACAGTTAAAAGTTAACTGAAAAACATACTAGATGTATGTTATTATAGTGTAAATACATAAGCCATTAACAGTTTATTAAGTGGGCCGGGCACGGTGGCTCAAGCCTGTAATCCCAGCACTTTGGGAGGCCGAGGCGGGTGGATCACAAGGTCGAGAGATCGAGACCATCCTGGTCAACATGGTGAAACACCGTCTCTATTAAAAATACAAAAAATTAGCTGGGCATGGTGGCACGTACCTGTAATCCCAGCTACTCAGGAGGCTGAGGCAGGAGAATTGCTTGAACCCAGGAGGCGGAGGTTGCGGTGAGCTGAGATCGCTCCATTGCACTCCAGCCTGGGTAACGAGCGAAACTCCGTCTCATAAAAAAAAAAAAAAAAAAAAAAAAAAAGTTTATTAAGTATTTTAAGCTATGTATCATTGTGTGTGCTATGCACTGGCAGTGCAGTAGATTTGTTTCAGCATCACTACAAACACCTAAGTAATGTGTTGCACTATGATATTCCTATGGCTGGGACATCACTAGAGAATCGGAATTTTTCAGCTCCAGTATCTTTTATTGATACAAAGTATTTTACATGTGTACATGTGAGTATTTGTTACCTGAATAGAATGTGATGATCAGGTCAGGGTACTTGGAGTGTATCACCTTTTGACACAAAAAGGTACCTTTTGAGTGCCATTTCTATGTATTGGTAACACTTCAACTTCTGTCTTGTAGCTATGTTGAAATTAGAGTACATTGTTACTAATATATAATACATAGTCACCCTACTGTGCTATAGAATATTGGAGCTTATTCTAACTCTAGGTACCCACTAATCAACCTCTCTGCTCACCCTCACACACTTCCCAGTTGCTAGTATGTATCATTCTATTCCCTATCACCATGGAATCGTTTTTTTTTTTTTTTTTCTTTTTTCTTCTTTTGGAGATGAAGTCTCGCTCTGTCGCCCAGGCTGGAGTTCAGTGGCGCAATCTCGATTCACTCCAACCTCCACCTCCCAGGTTCAAGCAATTTTGTCTCAACCAATCAAGTAGCTGGGATTACAGACAACCACCAGCACGCCTAGCTAATTTTTGTACTTTCAGTAGAGACGGTTTTGCCATGATGGCCAGGCTAGCCTCGATCTGACCTAGGGTGATTTGCCTGCCTCAGCCTCCCAACGTGCTGGGAGTACAGGCGTGAGCCACAGCAGCCAGCCAGGGATCATTTTTTTTAGCTCCCACATAAGAGTAAGTGGCATCTGTCTTTCTGTGCATGATTTAGTTCACATGACATACCTCCATTTCCATTTATGTTGCTGCAAATGACATGATTTCACCCTTTTTTTATGGCCAAGTAGTACTCCTTTGTGTATATGTACACCTTTTCTTTCTTTCTTTCTTTTTTTAAAGGCAGAGTCTTTCTTTTGCCCAGAAGAGTGTCGTGGCACCAGCACAGTTCCTGGAGTGTCGTGGCACCAGCACAGTTCCTGCAACAAACCCAAACTCATGAGGCTTAAACAGTCTTTCCACCTCAGCCTCCTGAGTAGCTGGGAATACAGGTGTGTGCCACTACACTTGGCTATTTTTAAAATTTTTTTGTAGAGATTAGTTATTCCTATGTTGCCTAGGCTGGTCTTGAACTCCTGAACTCAAGCAATCCTCCCTCCTTGGCCTCCCAAAGTGCTGGGATTATAGGTGTGAACCACCATGCCAGACTGCTGCTATTCTCAATAATGCTATGCTAAATGTGCAAATGGAGGCAGCCCTTTGATATACAGATGCTTATTCCTTTGGGTAAATACTCAACATTATGATTGC